TTCCCAGGGACCCATTTAGATTCTGCCTGTCTTGTAAGGTGGACAAAAAAGGGAGTCGCTTATGTGGTGGTTATCACTACCATGTCAAGTTGTGGCTGCCTTAGAGAAACTCTCAGGTTGCTGGGTGATGGTGGCATTGACCTTTATCTCCTATGTTTTGTTTTTACTTCTTTTTGGATTAGGGGTCTAATTACACTTGTAAACTTTGAATGCCATAGGCTAAAACAAAACAAAGACTTTTGAGGTTCAGAGAGAGGTTAAGTGACTGGTCTAAGATGACACAGCTAGAGAACGCCTGAAGCCAGAATTCAAATCCAAGTCTCTCTCTCTCCCACCGTATGCTTAACTGACACGATATTTAGAACTTATATTAATATATTATATATCATACTGGAATCAGAAGTTTCTTGTTTTACCGTGTGTAGGCAAAATCTCAAGACTCCAAGGAGGCTGGTTTCCTTATGCCATGATTAAGGTGTGAAATATTTCAAAAGCAGTGAGGACCAGAGGAAGGTATCAGTAGTACTATCTTCAAGGTTAGAGTCTGTATTTAGAAACACGTCCCTAATTTGGGCAACACTTTCACTGGCTATCTGGGCAAAGATCAAACTGCATACATTTCTGTACTCCCCGTCCCCACCTGTTTGTTAAGAAAGTAGCTCGTGGTTGAAGATGTAGTTTTGCAGCCTGGGCAGGTGAGAATAGTTAATGGGGATGTCATATTTGCTCTTCCTTGCTGGATTATTTCTAAGGCTCAGTTCTTGTTTTCTAATCGATCATGTTGACAAAAAGAAAATACACACACACCAGTGTTACAAAACCTTGTATTAATCATTTCCCTTCACTTTCAATATAACGTTGATATGAAATATAGCCATGATTCTTAGTTACATGGGAGGAAATGAGTAATAAATATATTGTAGCAAGTTTAAACCACAAGGGTGTTTCACTGGTAACAACATTTGAAAACTGTACACTTGCAAAGAAAGCATGTTCAAACATTAGTATATCTGTATATCAGTAAAGCTTTTACATGTAACAAACATGCTCTTTCCATATATGACAAAATTTAAAAAATATGCATTGCTTGGCAACATGAGCTAGGCAAAAATATTTCTTTGTTCACTAACTTTATACAGGAAAACAGGACGCAAGGCATGCATGTACAATACGGATGCCTTCATGGGCATGCAACAGAAGAGAGCTTTTTAAAAGTCAGTTTACATTAGGCATAAATACATGAGGGTTATATATTAATAAGGGAGGAAGTTTCTGTTTGACATTATGAACATTCCTGTTTTCTTCCTATTCCTCCCAGAGGAATACACATTCACCTTTAAGTAAAGATAAAGGAATTACAAAAAAATAAAACTCACTTTGCAAACATCTCTGATGACTTGTAAAAAAGAAAGAAAAAGAAACAACATTAGTGTTATCACAGCTCCATGTGCAAATGATCCTTCTGTAGGTTCTGCTTGTAACAGGCACACCCGAGTGCCTTGGTTAGGCTGCTTCCCCGCACCCAGGCTGCAGAGGACTGTCGAGGTCATCTCCAGAGGGGCACCACATGGGGCCTGCTTTGCCTCCCCACGCTGCCCTCCTGGGTTGCAGGCCCATGCATGGGGCCCCAGCTCAGCTCTCAGCCCGGGCTCTGGGGATACACATCTACAAACCTTGCACTGGCAGTTGCTACAGGAGATGCAGAAGGACAAAAGACCCGGAGGAGGCTCCCATTCTGTAAAAGGCAGCCAGTGACACCTCAAAAGAAAATCTCAGTTTCCCTCAGTGTCTCTTCAGAATGAATGGGAGTGGCGGGGGTGGGGGGGAGGGGGGAGGGGGGGGTGGCAGCTGCAGCTCCAATCCTGAGTATCAGAAAGGAACCCTCCATACCCAGGATTTGAGAGCTTGGTACAAAACAGCTGTCCCCGGCAGGCAGACCCAGCGGCATCTATTTTGCTGGCTGGCTCTCGTTTAAAAAGTGAAAATTCAACAAAAGCATGTGAAAAAACATATCAGCAGCAATGTTTCATGTCGTGGACACAGTTCATGTGTTTCTTCCTACTGTTTCTGGTAAGAAACCTCTATGAATAAAAAGCACCAATAAAACATCATACATGATAACAATATTGTAGAACACCACTGTCCCTGGGACAGTGTCGAGATGCCAAGTTGACACACTGCTTAACTCAGAACAAGGGGGAGGGGGGAACCCACGTAGTGAAATAGATTTTACTCTTGAGATTTTTTTTTAAAATCGTTTTCTATTTACTTAATATAAAACAGTTGCATTTGGGGATCAATGGGTAAATACAAAAAAAAAAAAGGCACTGCCGCTTTATTACTAAATATCCGACTTCACAGCCTTATGCATGCAACTGTTTCTTTTATAAATAAAATTCTTTTGCTTTAGGATTTTTAAATTGAGCTGTATACCTGCAGTCAACACAGGACTCAAAACAAGATGGGGACAGGCTCCTAAAATTCATCAGAACACTCAACTTAAAAAAACAAAACAAAACACTAATATAGCAAAACACAACTAAGTAAATCTATACACAGTCAATGAAAAATAAGCTTTTCTTTTCTTAAAAAAAGAATTATGTTGTTATTAATAACAGACTTTATCATGGTTACCAGCCATAGCAAGTTAATAAGTAACATATCCAAAATAATCTCTCTAATAATCAGATAACCATTGTTTCTATATTCAGTGAAGGAATAAATAGAAATTCAGATTTGCAAATACTTTTAAGGTCTTCTTCCTTTTAAAGGATTCATGCTAATGTGATTGTGTTCACAATCTGTTTTCTGATAACACGAGTCTTTATGGATACGTGTGTTTTGCAGCAGATTGGAAAGCCTTCTCCTTTCTCTACCCTTGTTTTCTCTCCTCTGTATTAACTTTCTCATCAGCATCCCCCAAACACATCCTCAAACCCTCTTGGCCTTACCTTTGGCCTTCATCATTTTGACATATTCTTCCTGCCTTACATGTGATCGTCCATCCCAGCACATTCCCCAACATTATGCTTGTTTAGAAACGGGATGTGAGGGATGAAAGTTAATGGCACTTGGTTAAAAAAACAAAAAAAGAAAAAAAATGCTGCTTCTTTCTGCACATGGATTTGCATCTTTAGAATTTAGTCACCCCAAGGAGAGGTCTAAATGTTTTTCTTCTCTCTCTTTTCCTCTCTCTCTCTCTTTTAAATGCACAGCATGAAATTATGGATTCAAGCTTTCTGGGCTCACTAAAGGCTCTGGTTAAGGTATTCAAAGCCTTTTGCATTGCAAAGAGGTCTCAAAAACCTGACCACAGCATCCTGGCTGGGCTGGGTGTACATTTTAACCTTGATGGTAAAAGAAAGTTGTTTGGATTTTATTAAGCCCTTTTAAATCTGTGTAATTCATTTACTTAAAAAAATAACCATAAGTAAGTGCAATAATTTTCATGGTCTGATCTAATTAATTGTGACTCTGACTTCACTTAAAAAAAAAAAAAAAAGAGGCATCATTCTCACTCATTTAATAAACAGGCCTTATACCCTTTCTCCCTGATCTCGCCTCTGGCTGAGCATTTATACCGTCATCTACACAACCCAATTTTCCAGTGCAGAGCACAATTCCCTTTTGATTTCCACTAATACCTTCCACGGCATCAAATTCCAAAACACAGTCTTTCTTGCCCTTAAGAAATAGAGCTATTACTTAGTGGTACCATAGTTTGTTAATCTCTCACCATGCAATGAGCGTTTCTCCCCCCCTCCCTTCTGTGTGGATGGATAAATCAGCTAACTATACAGCACATCTGACTCACTGTGTGGATAGAACCTTCCTTCCCACTTCTGCTTTTACTGCCACCTGGGAGGGTGGGGCTGGACTGCGTGAGCCCGGTGCCTCCTACTTGTTCTCTCTGACACTTGCCAACTGACCCTTCATGCACTGTTGCTGGGTCTTTCTCTCTTCTTCCTCAGCAGGGACTTGACTGAGCCCCTGCGGCTCGGGTTCCTCTAGGAAACCCCGCTGCACATGTTTTGATCTCACTTTCTGGATATTAGACCTCTTGTAAGGGAAAAGCATCACCCTCCACCATGGAACTGGGACCCACCTGGGTGTCTGTGGAGCCAGGTCAGCAGTGCTAAGATGAAGCCCATGGGGAGGGTGGGAAGGAAGCTAGGTCTTTAGATGAGAAGCAAATCCAGCCCAGAAAGAGGCCGCAAGGTGTGTTTAGAATCTCTGGGTGACCTGTGAGCAAATCTGTAACTGATCACATGCTGCCATCTTCCTTGTGTCCTTTCCTAGTGCTGTGTACATTCCGGCCACATCCTCATCCTTCAAATCCACCCACAGGCTCCTCCCACCTAATGGTGAAAGACAGCAACTCAGGCCGACGTGACTATATCCCATCTTCCCAAGAAGCAGAGCTCGGCAGCCATTTCAAAAGACAACCCTGCTGCTATTATAAAAATAGAAGGAAAAAAAATGAATCCATAACAACAATAAATCCTTTTACAAAAACCATAGTATGAAGAGAAGTTCTACCCAAACTCTTTACACATTATGTACCCTTTAAAATTCTTATGTAAACAATACACAAATCAAAGTTTATCTGAAATTTTGCTGGAGGGAATTTCTTCCTTCTTGTCCCTGTTGCCATTTGACCTTCTCCTGTGGCTGTTTCAAGCAGGGCGTCAGGGAACCCAATCAGGGGAAACAGAAACAGGTGAGCCGCCATCTTGCTTTGGTCGCATGGGTCCACCATCTCCTTCTGTGGCCTGACTGGGAAGCCAGGCTCTCTAAGAGGGCTCCCCAGGCGAGGGCTTCTGCCTCCCTCTTGTGTCTCTCATCTCTCTTTCACAGCAGCCATCCCCACCCCTTCCATCCAGGAAGCCATTCACATCCCTCCCCCACCCCACCCCCAGTCCCACCATTTCCCTAGAGACTCCTCTCACCAGGCACACCAAACCATCCCATGACAGAAACAAATGACCACATAACCAATCCCAGGTCTACTGATATGTTTACAAGGATGACCTACGCTCTCACAAAATCAAAATGGGCGAGGGACCAGGGGAAATGGGCTGCAAAGTATCTTGGAGGATTCTATGCAACCATGAAGATGGCTGACACTGGACCCGCAGCAGTCGATTTCACGGCCAGCGCGGTCACTCTCATCTTCAGCTTCTAGATTGTGGAGGTCCGGTCAACCCCGTCTGGGAAAGAAGCAAAGGGTATAGGTGAGCGAAACAGTTATGTGTTGGCCCAGTAGCACCAGTGCCATGTGCGTTGGGTCTCCCAGTCTCTGAGAACAGATAAGGGCTTCATCATTCATTGGCAAATTCCACTCAACATCTGGGGGACAGTTTTTGTTTTTTTTGCCAGGAGCCACATTGAGCCTGGGAACCAAGATGAAAAGACCCAATCCCTGCCTCTCTCAGGTACTCACATTCTAGGCAAGACACAGACATGAAGAAAGACAATGGTGTTAGGAGTGATAATTGGTATAAAGGACTATGTACCCAGACAGCAGGAACGTGGAGGAACAATGTTTAAGTTGGCCTTGGAAGTCAAGGACCTTTTCATAGAGAAACAAAATGACTTTTGTAGATGGTGCTGGTAGAAGCACGTGCCTGATAAGGAGGATGCAGGAGAGGATGATGTGGAAAGGCCCTTGGCACATACATAGGTATGAATGATGGGTCATGGGGCCATGGGGCTAGGGAATGGGTTAGAGGTTTAGGATGAAGGATGAGGGGCTGAGTGGCAGGAAATAGGTCAGAAACACCAGGCAGGGGCTGTAGTAGACGCATCAATGGACCTGCATAGCTCCTGTCCCTTTCTTTGGAAGCATCTCCCTCTCTCACCAAGTCCTTGATGGAAGACTGAGAACAAAGCAGTTGTGGTTCTGTCCTCCACCACAGCTGAGCTGGATGGATCTGACTTAAACTGATCCAAACTCTCTGTTTCAAGAATCTGGTCAAAGGCAGAAACACCAGAGGAGGATGCTGTGAGCATTTGGAGCTGAAAAAGCCTGTAAAATTGTGAAAGACAAGGCCATCCAGGACCTGCCTGTCTGCATTTTAGAGAACTGCAGAACCCAGGTGCAAAGCAGGGGACATGCACATCAGAGATGAGAAGCCATGAGACCGACAGACAGCAGGGGCTGCGATGGCTGCCCAGTCTCTTTTCAGTCGTCTGCTTACATTGGGTTCTAGAAATCCCCAGAAGCAGACCCTCAGGGTCTGTGTACCATGAGCAGGAGCTTGGTCACAGCAGTTGAGGAATTTTAAGCAACAGTATAAGAAGCTCTGATTTTAGAATAGCTTTTCTGGCAGCTGTGACTGATGGTCTGAACCAAAGGACAAGACCAGTGGTTGGAAAGCCGGTTTAGAGGGCCCAACATTGGTCCATGTTGGATGGAGCTGATTAGGAGCTTATCCACTGAGGAGAGAGAGACGTGGATTTGTCATCACAGGAAGTAGAAAAGACCGTTCAGTGACCACTGGTGAGGATGGGGGAGCTGCCAAGTGCCCCCCTGACTGCTGGTGTCTAAAGGTCAGGCGATGGAGCCCCATCTAAGTCCCAGGGTAGCAAAGCTGACCTTCCAAGATGGAGCATCTCTAGTCACAGGCAGGATGAGGGTGGGAGACAGGAGCAGCAGAGTGCTCCAGGGAGAGTGAGAGCCCACCTCTGGGGTTTCCCGGTCTCTTGTTGGTGGTGCCAGGTTGGCAACTCTGCCAGTTAGAATGTGGAGGAGAAATGCCTCTTTGACATTTTTGTTGGGGTCATTATAGGTTCACATGCAGTTGTAAGAAATGGTCTAGAAGGACTCCATGGTACCTTGCCATGATTTCTCCATGGAGACAATTTGTAAAACCATAGTACCATAGAAATGCCATATGGACAATTCATTGATCTTACTTAGATTTCCCCAGTTTTGCCTGTAATGTGTATGATGTGTGTCTGTTACGTTCTGTACAGTTTTGGGAGAGATTTTAAAGGAAGGAACAAACCCTTGGCGGTATTCAAAGCATTGAATCACCAATCCTAGTGGCTACAGATATTAACCTCTAAATAATAACTTTTTACCTTCTGTGGTGTCAACCTGAGCCTGCCTTTTGAGGGTTGGCCCTGCAGTGGTCCTGGGAGAAGAAGGGTGTGCACATGCCTGTGGGTGTGTGCAGAGATCTCTATGGTTGGTGGAGTCACCCCTCTCATCTCTAAAGGTGCAGTGTACACTCTTGCTGGGGCTCATGGGCTACTCATCAATGCCAAACCTTCAGAGCTATAAAAGTGTGGAGTTGGAGACATGGAAATCTGCATGCACCCACCACCAAGCTGCGTTTTCATTGAATTCCAACCCCATGACTCATCATCCAAGGACTATGATTCTCATCTGCAGGGAAAGCACCAATCAGTAAATCCAGAATATTTGTAGTTGTTCAAGCAGTACACTCAGAACTCCAGGGGGTGCCATTCAACATCATAGGTTTTACGGTTAGTATGACATTTTCCAACAAATGACGGCTTGGTGGCTTGAGAAAGTAACTTGCACAATCTCCATATTGACTGTGTGTGGGGCTGATAAGTCTCAAGAGTGGGGTAAGTGGAGAAGATAAGAAGGAAGAGCAAGGTAAACCCCAGAAAATCAAAGAGTGGACCATGTCTTCTTCTCCATGCGTGATTCACTGCAGACTCAGCTGGGAGGAGCCTTGCTTTTGTAGTGGTGGGCATGCCTGCCCACAGCGTCTTCTGCAGGAGGACAGTGGCCAGGCTTGGCATTTCATCTTACTGATTTTCTCAGACCACTGACCAGGAGTGTACCCAACAGAGCTTGAAGAAAGCCTCAAAGACTCACAGACCAAGATGGCAGAGGCAACCTCTCCATTCTGTTGGAGGGGCCTCAGGGTGAGAAAAGATGGAAAAGGAAGGCCAAAGAGAAGAGTGGCTTAGACTGGCAGCAGGAGGGCAGCAACTCCTGGAAGAGACCATGGAGACCAGAGATGTCAGCATGAAAGGATAGGCCCCTGAGGCCCATGGACCCGTCATGTTAGAGTGGCCTTTCTGGGATATGGGGTCCCAGGAACTTGACACCCTCCTTCTCTATTCCTGAGTCACAAGTAGGGGGCACCTCTTTTATTCTGCTTTCCTCTCCCTTGTCACTTGTCTTCCAGTGAAATGACTTCATTTGTTGGCATTCTGTCCCCATCAAGGTCATCTCCCCTGGCACCTGGCAGGGGCCAGCCAGCGGAGGGATGCTGTCATAGTGGGAGGACACATTGCCAGTGCCCGGCTAGGCCACCCTGAACTTAATTTGCATCCTCTGCTCAGGAAACTGCTTACAAGGCTTCCCACCGGAGGAGATTTATTGGGAAAAAACACAGCAATAAAAAAGTTTAGGAGATTAACAAGATGAAAACATTAGCAAAAACTCATCAGTTCAGAGAGGTATTCTGTAAAAATGGAATTATGGAAAGGAAAGGATTTCCTAAAAAAGGAAATCTTTTCAATGAAAACCTCCCTTTAAGAAAAGACCATTTGGGGCTGGGTGCAGTGGCACATGCCTGTAATCTTAGCGACTCAGGAGGCTGAGGTAGGAGGATCATGAGTTTGAGGCCAGCTTCAGCATCTTAGAGAGGTCCTAAGCAACTCAGCAAGGCCTTATCTCAAAATAACAAGTAAAAGTGCTGGGGTTGTAGCTCAGAGGTAAGTGCCCTTGGCTCCAGTCCCCAGTACCAAAAAACAAACAAACAAACAAACAAACAAAAAAAAAGAATTTGGCATTCTTGCTACCAATGATGTTAGTATTTAGTAGTTTGATAAGAACTTCCAAAAATGCAGGTATTTGAGATACATCCAATTCTAGGGAAAAGGTCAGTTCTCTTTGCTAACTCAAAGGCATTAAAAGATGGAGCTGGGCTCCTCACCTGTCAGCTATGTGGGGCAGGAGAGCAATGGGCTGATCCTGCCTGACCACCCAGGGTCTGGAGGCTTTGAAACTTCTAGGATCTAAGCAGCCATGGAGAGAGCAGTGATTTGCAAATAGGTTCCATAGAACTCGAGAGGAGGTCACAGAAGGAGTTGGGCCTTTTCGCCATCTGTTTTGTCTGAAGCCCTGCGAGGTCACAGTGGTCCTGGTACCAAGGTCAGGTGGGTGTAGTCCCAGGCTTCCATTTTGCTCCATACAGAACATTTGTCTGTTTTACATTTGGTGTCAAGATAAGAGTGTGTTTGTGGAGACTAAAAATCTAAACCCCTGGTCTGGAGGACAAAGCTTTCTGGAGCAGTAGCTAACAGCAGCCTTTGGGCCTACTGCAGCTAATGGACAACCATGGAGCCTCTAGGTGTGTGGACAGCCCATCTCTGGGGTGAGGTAAGCATATCCAGGCTGCACAAGGCTATGGGGAAGCCCCATGGGTGGCCTTTCAGCATCTCTGTGACCTAGAGACTCTCAGGAGGGTGGCAGGAGGTGGTGGACATTTCCTCTCCTTGGCCTGCCAGCAATCCACAAATATGCAGATCCAGAGAAAGGTGCCTGCTTGGTACCAGGAGGGTGCCAGGGCTTCCCGGACAGCTATGAGGAGGTAGGCTGCAGGCCAAACCCACGGGGAAGCACCGCTGCCTCGGGGAGCGCCTCATGGTACCAGTCCTGCACCCTGCAGCCTACGCTTCCATCTCGGCTGTGGACACGCAGGCGCACCCAAGCCATCCCTGTCACTCGGTGAAGGACAGCTCAGATTGCTTGGAGCTCCAGGAGTCATGCAAGCCCTTTGCAACTGGGGGATATAAAAACAAGCAGGGATCTTTGTTTCAAAACTTCTATTTTTAGAGCACGTTGGGATATGCTTGGCCCAGACTGGGGGATCCAGTGCCGAGAAGGAAAGCATCCAGTGCTGTGGGGGATGTTCCTGCTAGAAGCCACGTCGTGTGTGCCTGACTCCTCCCTGAGTTTGGCTGGGACAACTGTTGTGATGGGTTCCAATGTGTCCTGGGGGAGGAGCCTCTGGGGGCTGGCTTTGGTCTATTTGGTTTCCAGGGCCCTGACTCACCTCCCAGGAAGGGAGGGGAGCAGAGCATGGTAGGCCACGTGGCGGGTGCGGCCAGATGAGGGTCCAATAGCATGTCAAGGCTGCTTTCTCCCCATTTCCTGCCAACTCTCCTGTCCCCTTCCCCAAAGCTGCTGCCAGAGTGCAGATGGCAGATGGCCACAATCATCCCGGTACATAGTGAGGAGGACAGGAAGGGAGGACACTCACCTCCCAGGGCATGCTCGGTCATACTGAGGCACAAGGACTCCAGCCTGTTGTTGATGTCAGGTTCAGTCACAGGAAGCTGGAATTCTGCAAGGACAAAGGGTTATGTTGGTGACAGGGACATTAAGGACAAGGAGAAAGTATGCATGATGCCACATGCCAGGAGGAGAGTCTGGTGTGCCTCCCAGGGAGGACTTGGGGACCTTCATGGCCAACACGAAGGGCAAGTTACATTCGGGTTCCACCAACCTCTGAGCTGTTAGACACAGAGGCCACTGTGGACACAGGCAGCTGGAAGAAGACTGGTGGCTAAAAATAGCTGGTCAGAGTCATAGTCTATCACTCCTCTCAGACCCCTCCAGCAGCTTCCTATCAGAGTAAGAGCCAAACTCTGGCTATGGCCTGCAAGGCCCCACATGATCTAGTCTCTAGTTACCCTCCCTGTCCTCATAAACTCTCCCCTTCCTTTTGCTCCATCCCAATCTCTTTCGACCCCAGGGCCTTTGCACAGTGTTCCCTCTGCCTGGAATCCCAGTTCACAGATCCTCATGGCTCATTCTCTCCCTGCCTTCATAGCTTGGGCTCAGAAGGGACTTTATCAAGAGACAGAGAACCTTCCCCTGCCACACTACCCATTTTCTCCTGCTTTTTCTTCTTTGTAGCCTCCACCAACCTCAGACATATTATGGATTTTCCTTCTGCCTTCCCCAGTTGAATGCTTGGGTCATCAGAGCAGGACTTAGCCCTTCCCCCTGCTTTCTTAGGAGGAGCAGAGTAGGAGCCTTACTTCCAACCTTATGAGTACCTCTTCTGAGTGCCAGGTGCTTCTGAGATGCCAGCTCCTGCCCAACAAAGGAACTGCCCAACAAAGCCCAGTTCCCAAGTGGGCCTCTGAGAGGCTGAACCTCTTATCCATCAGGACTAGTTGGCTAACATGGAGCCAGGACAGGACCCATGTCTGACTCCAGAGTCAATGCCCTCCTGCCTGCCACAGTGACTATGGGTGGCTGTCACCATACTCAGCCTCCAATACACTTTAGCAGGAAAGGCTGAGATGCATACTCCAAAGGCACTAAGGGATCAACTCCCACTTCTCTACCATCTGGACCCTCTCCATCTCCCCAGGTTTGGAGCTTACCTCTCCCGAGTGGGAGAACCTCCTCCTCTTTCTGGCTAGCGACCCACACTGTCAGAACCTTCCTGTTCCTCATCCTGCAGGGTCCTTGAGTGTCTTTAACTACCTGGGGGCATCTTGCAACAGTGATAATACTTTCCTGTCTCTCTCCATCCCCATCATACCCATCCCTGGCTTCTGCACAATTCATACATGTCTGCTGATTGGTGAAAACCATGCATTAAGAAATAGCAGGATCCCAGCGACTCAAGAGGAGGCTGAGGCAGGAGGATTGTGAGTTCAAAGCCAGCCTCAGAAAATGGCAAGGCACTAAGCAACTCAGTTAGACCCTGTCTCTAAATAAAATACAAAATAGGGCTGAGGATGTGGCTAAGTGGTCGAGTGCCCCTGAGTTCAATCCCAAGTACCAAAAAAGTCCCAGAAGGGTTGTTGGCATGCAGTATGTTCCAAGTGATTAAGAGGTCTCAACATTGTCACAACTTTCCTATGTGAGCAGGGAAACTGATCCCTTTCTTGGTCCTTTAGTTCTAAAGTGGGAAAGAAAAAGCATCTTGGGGTCCAAATTTCAGGTCATTTCCCGGCTCCTTCACTTGTCCACCAGGGGGCACATGGGACCAGAGAGGGAGAAAAGGATCCCACTGAGGTTGGCGGTTTGGTGGGATAGGAAGTTCAAACCAGTGGCCAAACCAAAGTATTTGTTTTCTTTGATTAACTATATATTAAGATCTTTCGCAATTTGTGTTTCTCATTACCAGCTAATTCAGAGGCAGATGTCGTTTCCGTTATTTAAAATTCTCAGAGAGGAGGCTGGCAAAATGGATCGATATGAGAAGCCCTGGGGAGCAGACCGTGTTCTGTCTGCCATGAGTTCCAGCATGGATGGGTTTGGAAGACAACTGGGCCAATTCCTGAGTGGATGGAGGCCAACTGAGCTTCCAGGGAAGTTGGGAGCCAGAAAAAAATGGCAGGAGTATCTCTTGCCCCACCCACTAGTTGCTGCGAAGAGCAGGGCTGGGGCAATTAGATAATCCCAGAGGGAAGAATATTTTTGTATTTTCATCCATTCATGTGAAAATCATATGCATGCAAAAATTAGCAGTCTTCAGGGTGTGAAATCTATAAAATAGAAACACAATTTTATATATAGCTAGTTAGCAAATAAGAAAAAAAAAAAACAAACCTCAGCAATTATAGCCATCCATATGCTCATTGTAAGATTTAGTTTACTCTCTAGCGCTCCCCTTTAAACAAACACTGTGGAGAGATTTGGATAAATAAAGATGCTCGACATTTGGAGAGGAGCGTCTCAGCTGCAGGATTTCTTGCCAACATGCAGCAAAATGCCATTTTCCAAGCCTGGGATTGAATGTTCCAAAAAGGGGGCTGAGAAATGCAGGGCTCTCTGCTCCAGCATCTCCAAACCTCCGTGGCTGCTCTTTTCAGTGGGGAGTTGGTATTCTTGCTCTCTCACCTCCGGCTCTTCATGCTGATGCGCTAGGGAGCTGTGACCTCGCTACTCTCAGGGTGGCTCTTAAAAATCCTAAGTCTTGGGAGAAGCCCATATGTTCACATTGCAGAGTTTCCTAATAGTGTGACTTTTTAATTGTGTATTTGATAAAAACAGATCACTGGCTTCTTGCCATACACTCAAGACAAAGGAAGACTAGTTGGATAGATGATGACTTCCATTTCATACTAGAAACCCTCAGTGATGTGTGGCTTGAGGGACAGAATCCTCCACAAAGCCCTAGAGAGGCATTTGGGCAGTTCCTGGCCCACATTAACCACCAGGCTGCCTCTGCTATGGCTCCTGCAAACCTGAGGGCTTCTCTTAGTTATCCAGACCCTGGCAGACATAGCTGCAAGTCCTTGGTAAGGCAAAAGGGAAAGGTGCCTCCTGACTGAGCTGTCTTTGCTGTTGTCCAAAATAGGTCTATTTCTTTAGCTTAGGTGACATCTCTAAGTATAGGCTTAGCAGCCTTATCTAAAAATTCAGAATCTGAAATCTGAAACTCTATGCTGACATGATGCTCCAAAAGTTTGATTTTGGAGCACTTCAGATTTTAGATTTTTCAGATGAAATGTTTAATTGATAAAGTCTGTGCAAATATTCTAAAATCAAAAAAACTTTGAGATCTGAAACACTCTGGTCCCAAGTACTTTTGGATAAGGGACATTCAACCCATATTAGGTATTCTTTTCCTCACCATTAGAGCATTCTAGGATTTAGTGAGGATTCTTAGGGTCAAGGTCATGGAAACTTAATTGTCCCTTTTCAGAAGTCCCCTGGTTTCAAGGCCCAGGGTCAAGAGGAGGCTGGAAGGGAGTAGCTCCCTGTCTCCAAGAGGTGCTGCTGTGGAATCCATTTGAAGAGCATATGTGGCTTGTCCTTGGCAGACACTGGCCCTTGGGCTGAGTGTTATGTCCATGGCACCTACCATGCAATTCTGCATTGTTCTCTTCAAGGCACTGAGGCTGAGTGTAAGAAGCCAATTTATCTAGAACTTTAGAATAAGCAATAGGCTGGTTGTTTTGGGGAAAAATCTTTAGAACCCTACTTTTTTTTTTTTTTTTTGCATGTGGTTCTGTGAGAGGAAAGGGTGAGATTTCCAGGATACAGCCCTGTGAGGCGGACCAATTTTCCCTTCTGATAGTTTTCCTTTGAAGCCTTCTCTGGGTCTCTCTGTACTTTTCTCATCAGTCCCCCTGGGTCAAGGAGCCTGCCTCCATGGTCTCGAGCACTGTGCTAGAGTCACTCCAACATCCTCTTTGACTGAGGGCAACTGAGTCTGGGTCAGCAGGACCAGAGCTGCTTCTAAAATAAAGGATCAGCCTCCAAACAAATTTTCCAGACGGGAAAGTACCCGGCCTTTGCGAGGAACGTGGCATTCTCTGGAAGTCACCCTTTTGTCAAGCTTGCATCCCCTTTGGTGAGTGTCTCAGATCTTGTCCTCCTCACTCGGGGAGGTCCAGCTTGGTGTTTCTTACTCATCCCAGAGGACAGTGAGAGGCAGTAACCCTGATAGCTCTCGAGGTCAGTCCTGGGAAACACCTGAAGCCTTTCCAGGAGGGCAGAAAGCAAAAAGTCAGCTGAGATGGTCTCCAAGGGACCCTTGGATAATGTGGATCCAGGAAAGAAAGAAGTGCTTTACAACACAAATCCAAGCAGGGCAACTGATCCTTGAAACACAGCTGGGGGCCGGTTCTAGTCCCCAGTCTTCTGTGTTCTTCTTTGGAGATATTTTAAATCTTCCACACTAGTGGAATTACTTTTAAGTGTACAGAATCCAGTCTTCCTTAGAATGCACTGTATGCTACATGATTGCCCAAGTGGTTTAAAATAGATGCCTTGAAGACATCTCAGGGCCAGGAGGAAAACACTACCTCCTAAAACAGTTTTTCCAGTATTGAATTTTGGGTTGTTACGTGTCTTTATTTCATTTTGTGTTCACTGTTACTTCTGTTAGTGTAACAATAAGAGCTACATTCTTGTTTTCCTGATTTCCATTGTCCTGATAAGGCATTTCTTTCTTTTTTTTTTTTCCTTCACAATGCTGGGGATCAAACCCAGGGCCTCATGCATGCTAGGAAAGCACTGAGCTACATCCCCAGCCTCTGATATGACACTTGTAGTTTCTGGTCCTAGCACCTAGCCACAAGCTCCCAGAAGTTTCTATAGTTAACTGGGTCAAGCTGCTTTGTGTGGAAGGGCCCATCTCTCTATGATGAGCCTTGTTTGGGCCTGGCCTAGTGGTTAGTATCTGTGGAGGCTCCTGCTCAGGATACAGGAAAAGCTGTCTTGACAACACTGGTTTGATTGGCAAGGGCACAGGATGTATTTGGAGCAAAGGCTGAGGAGCACTGCTATTGGCACAGACTTTCTGCAGCCTCTTTTCCCTTCAGTGAGGGATTCTGGGTCCTGGCCATGTCCTGCCTCATCCTTCATGGCCATATCCCGCCTCATCCTTCATGGCCATATCCCAGAAGCTGCCACCTAGCATGGTGCTGAGTATGTCGGGCAGAACTTGGAGTGGCTCCGTGGAGTGCTCACCAGTTTATTTGAAATTTGCAGTAACTTTGTTCCCATGTTTTGGCCATTATTAGAAATGCTGTAGTTCATTAAGGCCTGGCTGGATGTGGGCTTATAATGCTTGAGAAAGGGATATTTTTTTTTTTTTTAAAGAAATCTCAAGGGCTCCAAAGTTCTAAGTCCAGTATGCAAAGCAAATTTATTTAGAGACTTTCAGATTACTACTTTGAAGGAAAACTGAAGACAAACTGGTCTATATGATTGCCTCTGGAATATGGGACTATGGGACAGGTAGGGGAAGGGATACTTTCCTCATAAGTCCTGTATTATTTGATTATTTAACTATGAGAACAAGAGACTTTGGGTGAAATGATCATAAATTCATGGTTCTCCCTGAACATGGCATTGCTCTTAAACAGTGCAGGAGAAACAAAGGTCCAGCCCAGAAACCATATCAACAGACCCAAAGTGCTCAGGGATGGGACTCCTCTCAGGAAGTAGACTGTTTGGGCCTGGTCTTCCCAATTAAGATGGGGAAAGTACAGCAAGAATAAAGAGGAGGGGGGATTGGAGACTAGGCAAAATGAGGCAGGAAGGAAAGGACAGGTGAAGAAAAAATTGAGAAGGCCATAGAGCATTAAGGATTGAAGATCAGTCATCTCTGCTAGGACTCCATGAGGCTGAAGGACAGCTAGGTTGACCACTGGGATTGAGGCAGGGTAAGGTGTTCATTCAAAATTAAAGATCTGCTCATGTCCAGGATATCTTTAAATTCGTCCAGATTCTTCTTCTCCTCCTCCTTCTTCTTCTCCTCCTCCCCCTCCTCTCTTCTTCTCCTTCTCCTTCTTCTTCTTTTTTTTGTGGTGCTTGGGAATTGAACCCTGGCCTTGTGTCTGCGAGGCAAGCACTGGTACCATGAGCTACATGCCCAGCCTCTTTTTAAAATTTTATGTTGAGTTTTGGGTCTTGCTAAGTTGTACAGACTGGCTTTGACCTTGTGATCTTCCTGCCTCGGCCTCCTGAGGAGCTAGGATTATGGCATGTGCCACCCACCTGGCCCAGATTCAATGTTACTGAGAATGAATTATACAAAATTCTGCATGAGAACACAGCATTGGCCTAAATGACCCAGAGGGAAGGCGTTCACAACCCTCCTAAAATGCCTACAAGTGTTGTAATAGAAAAATAAAGAAGGGGAGGGTGGGGAGGAGTTTTAAGCAGGAGTGAGCAAATGAGTTTTAGAAGTCAAGGAGCAATTTTTATAGCAATGTGGTTGTTGCTTCCTTTCCTGACATGCCTTTTTCTGGGGTGGATCTCTCCAACATCCTCCCAACCAGCTCACCTCTAGCCTGCTTCCCCATTTATACATTCCTGTCTGAACCAGAACTCAAAAATCTCCCATCTCTAACAATTAGAGAAATAAAAAAAAAAATACTCCAAGATTTCATCTCACTCCAGTCAGAATGGCAGCTATTAAGAATACAAACGACAATAAATGTTGGCGAGGATATGGGGGAAAAGGCACATTCATACATTTCTGGTGGGACTGCAAATTGGTGCCGCCGTTCTGGAAAGCAGTATGGAGATTCCTTGGAATCTGAATGGAAATAACATCTGACCCAGCTATCCCTCTCCTCAGTTTGTAGCCAAAGGACTTTAAATAGCACACTACAGTAATGCAGCCACATCAATGTTTATAGCAGCATAATATCTAAATTGTGGAACCAATCCAGATGCCCTTCAGTAGATGAATGGATAGGGAAAGTGTGGTATATGTACACTCAGCATTAAATATTACTCAGTATTAAAAGAGAAAAATCATGGCATTTGCAGGTACATGGATGGAGTTGGAGAATATTATACTAAGTGAAGTAAGCCAATCCCCCAAAACCAAAGGCTGAATGTTTTCTCTGATATGAGGAAGCTGACTCATATTGGGGATTGGTGGGGAGCATGGGAGGAATGGAGGAACTTTAGAATGGAGGGAGGGGATGGAAGGGGGCATGGGAGAAGGAAAGACGGTGGCATGAGATGGACATCATTACCCTAAGTACATGTATGAAGACCCAAATGGTGTGAATATACTTTGTGTATAACCAGAGTTATGAAAATTGTGCTCTATATGTGTAATATGAATTGAATTGCATTCTGCCGTCATATATAAAAAATTAGAATAAACAATTTAAAAAAATCTCCCATGAATTCCCTATTGAGAGGGGCCAGATTCTGTGCTTTTCAGCTTATATTCAAAGTTGTCCTCACCCCTCCATCAGGACTATAATCTACAGCTGTCTCCGTCTGCTTGCTGCTACTCTAGCCAGATCCTTCAGCCTAGCCAGGGCTTCTGGGCCCGCAGTGACACTGTACCTGTGCAGTCTTGCTTCTGGACCGCTCCTGCCTGCTATTCTGCCTGCTCTCTTTCTACTCTTCACCCTCTGTCCCCTGAGGCTCCGCTCCATTTCCAAGAAGCTTCCTTGCCCACGTGGGGCCTCAGACACTTCCCTTCCTTGGAACCTCATGGGACCTGCCATGCAAAAGCGCTTCTACTGCCTAGGGTGGCGTTTTCCTACAGGTATGCTGGGGTGGGGGACATCTAGATAGGTTTATGGATTGCTTGTCTCAGAGTCTAAGAGGTGACAGCTTACAAGGAGAAAGGGTTCAAGGAACTCTTGGATTTGTATCATTCTGGCTACCTTGTTTCAGGAGGCGTGATGATTCAGTTGAACCAGCCTGAAATGGACCAAGTCATGTTCTTTAACCAAGTTAATGGAAAAATACTTCTCAAGGCAATCCTGAACCAGTTCAATACGATGGAGTTTTCTGTTTCACTCTCACTTTACACACACACACACACACACACACACACACACAGAACCCCTCCAGTGATATCTCTGGCTTAATCAATCTAGAAATATGAATAGTATCAAAAATATCCCTGTCAGATTGCAAGTGACTCTGGGGCTCCACGTGCTGGCTCCTGGCCAAGCAGCCGCTATTCCTGCTGGTAAGGCACAGTTTAAAAAAGGAAAGACTTCCACAAGCTCAGAATGCGTGGTGACAGTCGAGGCTAAGCCCTTTCCAGCTGAGTGCGTGGGGCATCTATTCTGGCATCCCGGCCCCTGCCCTGTGTCAAGGGGGGAAGGAAGTGAGAGATCAAGGGCCCGGCCCTACCTGGCTGCTGGAACATCAGCATGTTCTGTGGAGAAGTGTGGACAGGCAGCGAGCGGGTCCTTTGGACGGAGCTGTGGGTGCGGCTGGGCATGCTGTTGCTGCCACCGGGGTTGGCGAACCAGAGGTTCTAGAGAGAAAGGCAAAGCGGGGGCCTGTTAGTCTAGACACTCTGGGGAAGAGAGGGGTAGCAGAGCCCCAGGCAGAATTCAGGAGGCAAATGTCCCAGGAGAACTCTCCTAAGTTCTGGAGGAGAGCTGGCAGGCAGCCTTGCCACCTGCACATTCACAGGGAGAGGGTGTAAGTTCCATTCATTGTATTTCCCCACTTGCTCATTCCCAGGCCTGGCTCTAAGCTTCTGCTTAATCTGGCCACCTCTCTCCCTCACTATCTCCAAAACTTTTTTTTTTTTTTTTTTTTTTACTCCATGTGTTGCTTTTTCCTGCCACTTTCCTAGGAACTGGGGGAGTTCTATAAATGTTTGCAACAAAGAGTACAAACTATTTCAGGCTTTCCTTTGATTTTTTCCTTTTGAGTTACTTACAATTTACTCCACAGTGAGTGGGAGAAAAAAAAGAACCTCTCAGCTGGCAATGCACTGGCCCAACTCAGCTTTGTGTATTTGGGTAGTGATATCCCCGTGATCAGGGGGGTGGGGACAATGGTCACAAAGCGGGGATTTCTCAGACCCTGGACTGATTCTCTTTGAGAGGGAATCCACCCATCTCTCCTAGAGTGGTTTTCCTATTTTTAAGCCAATCGCTTACCCCTTAGTTTCACATGAGAACTCAGAGCCTCAGACCTGCTTGTCTCTCTCCAATCTCAGTGCCAACCTGTAGAGCCTCACAGGACTGGGGTCACAGGCAGAAAGTAAGGGCAGGGCCACGGGACAGGTGAGTTCTAGATCACACAGCAAGGACCTCTGAGCAACCTGGCCTTCACCATCTGGGAATGTGTCCACTCTCTTGCTAACAGCCTCTCTCAGAGTTAATCTGTGAAATCTCCATCACAACTGGGGCCATGACAAAGGAGCTGTTTGTCACACATAAAAAGGTAGAGAAAGCTCCTTAAATGTTCAGGGTCCTCTGGAGCCTGGACCTGAGAAGTGACAGATCTGTTGGAGTGGGCCAAGGATCAAGGTAAAGAAGAATTAGTTGGGACACATCTCTCTAAAGGCCCTCATCTGCAGGGTTCCTGAGGCTACAGTGTACAGGGCATCTTTAGCTCGGCCATGGGGTTGCTCTGTCTCCCAGAGAAATAACCTGAATAGTGCTGGTTGCCTGGGTGGCATGGGCTTAATCATCCCTCAGCTTAGCTCCTGGACCTCTCTCCCCACCCTGGATCATCTGGAGGGAAGTCCTGAAGTCTCCTGCTCTGAGCCTGGCCCACCTCCCTACTCCCCGGGGCAGGCAAACCTGTCTTCCTTGTTTCATGATGGTAGGGTTGGCTGCGGTGTGGCGCTGGTTGGAACCGACGAATCCACTTGTGCCCAAGAGGCCTAGGCGGGCAGAAGGGACATTCCGAGAGGGGATCTGGTACTGACGTGGGTTCCGTCTGCCCATTCCGCCGCCCACAGAGCCAGCCGTCGGGAGGGAGTTGGACTGCCCAAAGCCGCGACTAGAACAAGGAAAAAGAACCAGGAGACTGTCAATCATTCTTCAGCCTTCCCAATCCCAGGCTACCAGGGGGCTGCTCACATTTTGATAGGTAAGAGGTCTGTGGGGGAGCTCTGTGCTGGTGAGGGTCTAGGGTGATAGCACATGACCTGTCCTGGCACTCATTCATCGCTCTACAAGCCTCACCGCAACCTTATAAAGTAGGTCACTATCCCTTTACAGCCAGAGGTATGGAGCTTCATTTTGTGAGGGCCACAGAACCAGCAGGGGGCAGTGCTGGAATATGAGCTGGGATGGCTGAACTAGGCACTGTCCTGCCTCCTTCCAAGCAGGTCTCCTCCAATGTCTGGTGCTGTGGACAAGGGCACAATGCCTTTCAAAAGGCCACAGTGCAAGAAAGTGGCATAACCAGCACCAAAACTCCTTCCATCATACTATGGTCCATTTTCCATCCTTCTCTCTCTGCAGCAGACTTGAAGTTCAAGGGAGGCCTGTGAGCCCTGCTGAGTTGTAAGCTCTATGAGAAAAAAGTGCCTGTGTTTCTCAATCCTTGTGATTGAGAAGTGACTGTATCAGCTTCTGCCATAGGAAATACTAGTTGAAGGAATGAGTCTCTGCCATCATGCTTGTCCCAATGACAGAAGGGGAGGAACTCCTAGGTTGAGAGTAGGGATATAAGATGACAATGTGTCTAAGTGCCCTGGATATAGGACACCCATGTGCCATAGGCCCTCCTTGTGGTGTGGGCCTTGCAACCGAGAGGCTCCAGGCTTCTCCTTAGTCCATGTAGGAGGCTGCTCCGGCTGGGCCGGGTGAGCTCAGCGCTGAAGAACTCATTTTTGCCACCATGCCTCAGGTTCTGGGAGGTTACACAGCAGCCAGCAGGGTTTCAAGAACCAGCACATTCTTTCCAAGAGAGTCAGCCTAAGTCGTTCTCTATGGTTCAGCAGAGATGCATTATCTCCAAAGGCCACTAGATGGAGTAGACTCGCATGTCCAGCTACACTGGGGAGTTTGTACCAAGCCTGTGAGGGGACTCCACAGACAGGCTTGACGTAGGTTAGATGGTGGAGGAGGGGGGCCACCAAAGAGTCATTTCCTGAGCAAGAGAGCTGTGTGTGTGTGTGTGTGTGTGTGTGTGTGTGTGTGTGTGTGTGCGTGTGTAGGGGGAAGGGTCTTCTGAGCCTGCAGCACAACAGATCTCAGAAAATGTTTCTCTTCGCTCTAGAATTCCAAAATTTTCTAGGGATAGATGGGGCAGGGAAGAGAATTCCAGACTTGTGTGTTTCCACCTCTAGGCTTTTGTGGCCAAGGGAAGTATTCTAGATTCTGGTCAGAAGTTCATCTAAATGTGGAGGACGGCGATGCTTGGGGGTTCTTGATCTCTCCCCTCCCCATCTTTTAAAAACATAAGCTCAGAATTTTTTATCTGAAAGAAGAAATTAGGGCCAGGAGAGGTGGAACTAATTTCACACTCTGAGGTAAGTGACAGGTGGAAATAAGGATCAAGTGGGTTTTTCATGTGTTTGTTTTTGTGAAAATCAGTCCTTTGGTTTCTGGAGTCAGAATTTTGGACACCTGGTAGATGATTCAGTATTCTGCTATGATATTTTTCCTTATTTAGTGTGCATAGCTTTTTCTCACTTTCCTTTTTTGTTGGATTTTAGAAAGTTATTTCATATGCAAAACACAGCAGTCAATGAGTGTTGCTAAAATGATGTGTGTTTCCAGGAAGGCAAGGCTGTTCTTGAGCAATATAACAGCAGAGGATGCTGTTAGGGACAGCCACCAGAGAAATGAGGGACCTCGGGACTCCTAGAATTAGGTCTCAGCTGTTAGGGAGAGGAGAGCTGAGCCCAGAACATTCTGGGAGTAGGATGTGATGATGGGGGAGAATTCGACTAAGCTGTCATTCTTCAGACCCTGCTACAGTGTCCTTAGTAGGTTATGACAAGGCCAGGGTTGCCGCTGCTGGCAACTGAACGCTTAGGCTACTGAAGATCTCTAGGCTTAATGAAATAATCATGCTTTCTGGGGAGAGAACAAAGTGACAAAACTAAGTTTTCCTTTCTTATTCTCCTCCTCTGTGCATCTGTGCCCCTCCTTCTCTGTCTTTCTAAATCTGATTTCATTACCTTGAAATGCATGAAAAGTCTTTGATAAAATAACATTAATAAGAGGCAATTAATTTGGGATTTGTGATAATTCAAGCAGGGGCTGGGCTGCAGTTACCCTCACATTATTGGAGAAACAGGTCTTCAAAGCAAATTAATAGTATAAAAAGATCCCAGAGGAAATACTTAGGAGAACAAATATTTTTCCAGGGTTTTAGCGACATCCATCTACAATTGATGATTGAATTCATTCTTTCATCAAATCAAGAAAAAGAGGACCATCAGGACTCCAATCTGGCAAGCTTTGCATTATTCCAACCCAAGCAATAGCTAGTTAATACTCTGGATGGTTAAGGTTAATGCCCCTGCTCTGTCCCGAGAATCAAGGATGTGGATCAAGGACGAGCAGGGCTGGCAGAGGCAGAGGATGAGACTTTGGGGGAAGGAACAAAGAGCCTATCTTTCACTTCAACCTCTGAAAGTTGTCTTCTTGGATCTTGCTTCCTTGGGGCCTAGAATTGCAGGCAGGGTCTGGAGCCTCCTTTCCCTTACTTGGGAGAAGATGCTGCCCTTAGAAAAAGGGAGGATGAGGAGCAGGCCTTGCGTTTCATCTGGGTCACTGGGAATCCTCAAGAGCACAGAGGTGGTCTAGCCCAACCCAGCAGGGCTTGGCAACCCCAGATGGCTTAGGGCCAGGAAGCTGGCAATAGTGTTCCTTTCTGCATATCGGCCTTAGACCATGAGAGTTGCCTGGCTCAGCAGTGGTGAAGAGCACTAATCCAGGGCTGGCGCTGTCCTGCTTGGTCCAAATCCTGAGTGCCCCTGCCTACCAACGCATATGTAAATTGGGGTTAATAATAGCAGCTCTATCTCATAGGGTTGTTGCAGGGATGAAATGTATTGATATTTTTAAGTGCTTGGATACCACTTGGCACATAGTACGTGCTAAATAAATGTTTGTTTAATAAATAACAGTGCTATATGCGGGAATGTGATAACACTTTCATTTTAAAATAAATAGTTCATGAAGACTTTTGCAAACTACAGCTGGCCTTACCTCCCTTAAATAATACAAAACAGTGATGTTTGAAGGCACACTTATGCAAATAAATGTCCCGCATTTTAACAACACAGAGCTTCTATATATACACTGAGAAATGAGATGCCTGTGCACCTAATAGAACCTGTTAGTTGCAAGGGAAGACATTATCTGTTCATGTTTTTGAATGTAAATAGAATGTTGATTCTTTTCAGGATGTTTGTATTATCACTTCCCTAATTCCCAACGAGGCCCCTACCATTGTTCAAGCATTAACTCACTCCCCACTCCCATTAATTTCTCCTGTAAGTTTTCATTCCAATTCACTTTTTAATATGCAATTTTGGATTCCTCAACTTAAAGTCATATTAAGGGAACAGGTTCTAAAGCACAACCAGGCTTATTTTTAACTGCATCCAAGAAGCTGAAGTATTATGAAAAAAAAAATCAAGAATGGTACTGCTCCACTATTAGACTGCAGCTCAGACCAAAATAGACTAGCACTTGGGCTCTTCACCCTGCCACCAACTATAATTAGCTTGTCTGCAGCTAGAAGGGAGATAAAAAAATTGCATACCACTTAAGGTACTGCTGGAAGAGCCCATTTTTGTACTCTTAGACCCCCTTTGTGGATCAAGCACCTGCGTTTTGCTGGCATTCATTAAGTCGTACCCACTCTCCCTTCCCAGGCTTGTCTAGACTAATATCATTCTAACAATGTAAATTGAGTTACAAAAGCTCACATTCAGCTCTTCTTCTGGGAATGCTCTCCCTAACAGCCTTTTCCCAGCCCCACCTGTTTAACGAATGTGATTTGGAACTCTGGAAGTCCCCACAGGGAAGGAGTGACGCCCCGCCATATTCCTGCCCCAGGAACAGAGGCCGCCCGTGGGACCCCGGGGAACCACCTTGTATCACAAAGAGTGAAATCCCAACATACTTTCTTTGCTGTCGATATCCTGATATGTCTAGGAGGGTTTTCCGAGGGAAAGACCGAAAGAGCTTCTGCACCTGCTGTTTCCATGACAACAATCTTTTTTTCTGCGTCTCTGTGAATGCCTGCAGAAACAAACAGGACTTTTAAATGGGTGACGCAGCCTGACATTAGAGGGAAAAACATGCAATTAATAAGAGAAAACATCAGTGTCTCTGTGGTTGCCTTTTCTTCACCTGTTTTCACCCTGGTCCAAACAACCGTTTAATTTGGGAGCCACCTGTGCTGAAGATTCAAGTTATTTGGCATTGGAGGCACCTGGTAAGGTCCATGCATTAAGCTGTTGACAACCCTCATTTTTGGCTGCATTTCTGGCAGGTGGTACCACCTTCCCCTTCTGAAGTGTGGACTTGTCTCTGAACCCTACTCATTAACCAAGAATGAATTGCAAAATTGATTGTTGAATACTCCGGCTTTTGCAGGCTCCCTGCATTTTCATAATCAATGGAAATTCTAAACCACTCCAAAAATCAATCTGCTTGATGGTGTGTGGTGACCCTGGAGTGATCTGTAGGGCTTCAGAGAATGGAATAGATGTTCTGCGTTTTAGAGCTTTGCTGAGAAATCTCTAGTTAAGCAGCTCTATGCCCTACAGAAAGTCCCAGGACACCTAAACCTTGGTCATAGTTTAGGAAAATAGGTAGATATGATGCCCTCTCAAGTCTTTCCTAGTAAAATTAGTGTGTATGGATGTTTGGCCTTTGGCCCCACAGTTTGTATCTACATCATGTGTCCTTTTATATAAAGTCTTTGCACTCACCACAGTCCAGTGTCATGAGTCCCCAAATGCAGGGCCTCTCAAATTCACACTATATTAAATCAGCCAAGGAGACTATCAAATGTAGCTTCCTAGGCCCCTTCCCACACTCCAGAACCTCACTGAATAGAGTTGGAAGGTTGTCAAGGGAGCTTGAGTTTGGAGCAAGTTCCCTGGTGATTGTGCAGGTAGAGCATGGACACATGGTGGTCCTAGATGGTGAAGACCTTACTTAACATACACCATTCAAGTACCTGGAACTGTGGCCTAGAACGCATGTGGTGGGGAATCCACCTGACTTGATTGATCAGCAGAAACGATGATAGAGATAACACTCCCAAGTCGTTTTGTCAATAAGGCTTGGAAGCCTTTAAGTAGTAATAAAATATTACTTAGATTAACGGACTAAATGACAAGTCCCCATAAAGGAAACAGATTCCTTTAATGAAGAAAAAAATATGAAAGCTTATTATTATTTTTTTCCCCCCGAGGAAGCTTAATCTTTTAAGGACCTAAACACAGGAGAACTGTGGGCAAAAGTAAAAAGATGCTATTCACATTATGGTAATGTGACAGACGGCTTGCAAACCCCTCCCTCCTGGGTGATCTTAACCAGATGCCATGGGACATATTCACCAAGGAGGGCTACCTGACTTGAGCCCTCGGTGCCCCACTGGAGTTAGAGGAACATGGCTAGAAGGGAAGGACAGGGTTCTCTTCTATGGTGTCTTATTTGTGGGTGATGCTCACTGAGTGTCCTACAACGCGCGTGCGCACACACATACACACACACACACACACACACACACATGCAGGCATTTCTGCTGGATTACTGAAAGGAGGGGATAGATCTGCTTTTGCCCAGTTGATTCAGCCAAATGTTGAGGACACAAGATGCAGCTGTGCTGGTCAAGGTGACTTGGGGAAGAGAGTCTAGCTCAGGGGGTCAGAGAAGGGCTCTGGATGTAGATGACTAGGGCATGAATCCCTTGCAAGTTCCTCTACCCAAGACCAAGTTCCTTCCAGAAACTGAGGGTAGTGATACCTTGCTCAAAGGGCCACTGTGAGGATGAAATGAGACAACATATGGAAAGTACAGAGAATATCTCGAATGATTCACTACATGCTGCTCCCAGATGCTATAACCCACCCTTTGGGGTGGTCTATGCATGTTCTTCACATTTGACATTCAACAATGATCTTTAGGCTCCATCAGCAGCACAAATCAAACAACTTCAAAGTCTCGAACCTACAATACTGAGCTGGTCTGGAGCCAGCCTGAAGGACAACTGGCCTGAGCATCCAAGGAATAAGTGGCCCATTTTATAGATGTCCTTCTAAGGATATCATTATGTACATGACATCTCTCATGGTGGCAAACAGCATCCAAAAAGATGAATTATTTACTCCTCCACAGAAAAGTCAGCTTACTCACTATTGGGGGTGTCAGGCTCCCTTAATTTGGGGCACAGAGAGGAGCCAGTCCCTTGGCAGGGCTGGGTAGAGGGTGCGGCTGGGTCTTCTCAGCTGAGAAGCATCAAGCCAACAAGCCAGAGCTAGGTCCTGGCTGGCTCCAGGGATTTCTGAAAACTGGTTCCTGTGCCTGAAAAGTAGTGCTCCATTATAGGGCGTCTGCTAGGGGCTGTGATGCATGACATCTCACCACGACCCCCTTCACTGGCATCTCTGGTTGGGCTGGGGAGCAGCTGCCTCTGTCTGGCAGGGAAGAGAAGATTGCATGCCTACAGGCTACCCAGACACCACCAGCCAGCCAGTTCCGAGTCCCCGGTCCCTGTCAGGCCCAGACCCATAATTCTGTCCGAAGGAAGATGACTGTGTGATGTGTCCTACAGTCTATGTGTTGGATGAAAAGGCTCATAAAGGGACAAGAACCCATCTTCCTGGAGCCACTTCATGACAGCAAGTCCAGAGAAGAGGGGAACCATAATCCAGGAATCAAAGTGCTCTCAGAAGTAAAATTTCCTGCGCTTCCTTTTCTATTCCAGGAAGTTGGAAGGGAGGGCTCCAGGTTTTGTCAGCACCTTCCCCTCTTTTAGCTGGCTGAGGAACAGCATGCTCTGGCTGTGAAAGGGAGCCCTGTCTCAGGAGCAGCCTAACTGCCCCAGATGCAGGTGTGCAGGCCTGTATCTCAGCGGGGGCCTCCCAGGGAGGGTGTGTTCCGACCACACAGAATGACCCCCAGCTGTGGAAAACCATTCAGAGCTTTTGCACTCTCTCAAACTAAAATAATAACAAAAAGCCTTGAACGACATTTTCCCTGGCAAAGTGCAGCACAGGCCCCTCCATCCTGACATGAATTCAGGGTAGTGGACGTGTCACAAGCTCCTTCCTTCCCACAGGAGAAAGGTCCCTTTTAAGCAGTCAGCAGATGAGACCTCACAGTGCCGTCCTTGCATTGGGTCACTTGGGGCTGCCAGGGAGGAAAGGGGGAAAGAAAAATGAGAGTCAAGGGTGCCCAGGGAGGACATGAAGGATGGCAGGAAAAGTGAGAGGCCTCAGGCCGACATTTTGGGGCTGCTGTAGACCAATTAGGAGGCTCACAGGTTGTTCAAAGAGGCAGCTGGAGGATTCATTATTTTAGTCTCATGGGCTCATCAACTGGAGGTGAGGTGGAAGGCACCTCCTCCTGGCATATCTTGAAGTCTCAGCGCTGAGGGTGGGTGTGGGAGAGGAAGCAGAGTTCCAGTTTGCTTTTTCAGAAGTTTAAATCCTCCCAAACCCACCCATGAAGGTCCTCCTCCCCAAGACAACACAGAGCTCTCCAGACACCACCTCTGCCTGAGCCCTTGTCACTGTCTTACTGAGTTTTCACCTCAGCAGCTCTGGAGCTGGCCTGGGGGCTTCAGCTTGGAGATGCTCCTCTGAGGAAATGCCCTGGTTTCAGCTCTGGGTTAGGTGCCTACCATCCTCTCTGAGCTCCAGGATGTGAGGGGAGGATCTTATCAAGGGCTTTATTGACATGTATGTGATGACCTGTTTTCTGTTTGTCTCACCTCACACCCTAAGCAAGAGGCAGGGCCCTAGGCACTCAATAAATTTCTACAGAAAGAATGAGTTATAACATCCTTCAGTGTGATCTTGCCTTTTCTTCTTTCTGTCATTTTTTTTTAAACTAAAAACAAGGGCAGTGACAGGATTGGAAATAGTAAAATTGGAAATAGTTGGGGCTGTTGGAGGGGCCTTGTCTCTTCCTGAAATATACAAATAAGCCCTTTAGGCTTTGGCGATCATTAGATAGTGCCTGGATGCTCTGGGGGAACCACTGCAGAGGAAAAAAAGAAAGAAAGAAAAAGAAGCTTTTGTGTGTGAGCCCCCAACCTAGGCAGCTGACGGTGGTGCTCACATTGAGACAAAGGGCTTTGGCTGGAGTGAATGGGGCACAGAAGAGCTCACACTGCCCAGAGAAGGCACCGTGAGGATGGAGGTTTGAGAGTGACTGGGATGAATCCCGGAGAAGACTGTGCACCTGCATGTGAGGGAGGCAGCATCTGATCATGGACATGGCAGAGGCCCCTGAGAACTGAAGAGAGACTTTCAATGGTCCAAGGCCTGTCTGGCAGCCTGGAAGGTGGGAAGCATGAATGGAATTGGGGAATGGACCAGGCCAGGCTGCTGTGCTGGGCATTTTCTCCTGGGTTCTGAATGCTGCCAAGCAGAGGTGAGGAGGCTCAGGGGCTGTTTAACCACCAAAATGAAAAAAGACCTCACCACCCTAGGTTCTCTGGTTCTGAGTTTTCTGTAGCCTAGAGCTTGTCTCTGTAACTCTTTGTGCATGGATGTGTGTGACCAAGGAACCACTGGATGCCAGGATCTGAGGCCCAACTCTTCCTCCCTATGTTTCCACCAGCCCAGACGTGCCCAGGAGTCTGCCCAGCTCTGTACATGAAAACTGCACTCTGACAGTGCGGTAGGCACAGCCTCAGCTGCCTAAGTCCTCCTTCCAAAGGACATATGGCAAATACAGTTCCTATAAAAACCACAGTCCAAACAAACAGCTGTCAATCCACACACATATACAAACACACATCCATTATTTATTTGGTGTACTTTCTCTCTCCCTCTCCCTCTCCCAGTTTCCCTGCACTAAAAGGCAAAATGTTTCAACACGCAATATTAAAAAGACTTGAAAACACCCAGGGGCTAGGTGGCAGGGCTCTGTGTCAACTACCCAGGCTTGGCCACTCAGGGATTCTTCTGGAGTCAGGAGTCCTCTCAGGCATTTCCCTGACAGCAAAGCTCTCATTCGGGGTGAATCTATGGTAATATAGAGCTGTGTCTGGGTTTGAGGTGGCTATCGCCTAGTTCTGCCTGAACTATTACTAATGACCATCCACCCCTCCCCAAAACAATTTGTTGGAGACTAAAACAATCATATCACAGAAAATTCTGAGAAGAATTTCTAAGCAATGAGGACAAGAGGTTGGTGAAACCAGTCACTACTCACCTCATGAATTAGACACTTGTCTATGAGCTGTAAATAGGAGCTTATATTTTCCTCATCAGGTCTGGAGACCAAGAGCTGTGTGCACACTGTGAAGGAAGGAGGAGAAAATGATGATGGTGATAGATTAGGACAATGCACACCCTCTTCCAGCCTCAGAGATCTGCCTCTGATTTCCTTTCACGACCAAGATCTTGAGAGGTATGTGTGCCTGTGGCTTTACGTAAAAAGGCCAGGAGGCTCCTCATTCCACAGGAGTCAAAGGCTTGGTCACCGCTGGAGCCCTCGCCCCGAGAAGCCCCTTGGGTTAATTCCAGTCATACCATTCTATATTAAGCCTTGTGCCATCAGCCGGAGACACGCACTCGGAGACACACACTCGTGATAGGAAGAACAGCAGTTTCCTGAGCTCGATCCTTGCAAGTGGCTCTGTATGAGGGGGCTTCAAAGCACTCAAAGTCCTCTGATGCCGTGGGAGAGCAGCCTCTATCGTTTTTATGAATGAACCACACCCTTCTTTGCCAGGTGGAGAGGCAGTGGTGTTTGTGGAGGAAAGAGTCTGGCACCTCCTTTAGGCTGCGAGGCATGTGGGCGTGCACAGGAGCCGGAAACCTGCCACTCAGTCGCTGGAGGGTTATTTTCTCTAAATGGTGCCTGCATTTATACACACACAGGTTTACCTGCACGCCCAAGGAAGTGCTAGTGAAGATAGAGCAGTTAGTCTGCAGGTAGAATACACACAGGCACTGGGCTTCTCATGGTCACATATGGTGGCCACTCTGCCCTCATCCTAGAGGCCACAAGGGCTTTGGCTTTGCAAGTGGCATTTTCAAGCCACAGTGGCAGGTCAAAAGTAGTCAGTCAGACAAGCAAGGGTATCTGGCACTCAAGCAGATCAAGATTGAAAACTGGGCATCATATTTGGTTTCTTCCTCTTTCCAACCAATCTGTCACAGAATTCCATTTATTCCACATCTTTTTACATAGGTTTTCAGTACAGCATCGTGAGTAATAACAAAAACCTCTTCATTAATTGATAGGGAGAGACCCTGATAAACAAACTATGGTTTGTGCATACAGTGCAACAGTATACAATCTTTAAAAAAGAATGCAATGGTGCTATTTTAATTGATAGAAACATCCAATGCATTTGCTATTTAAAAAAACAAGTTGCAGAAGAGAAGACCTGTGTGTGTAAACATGGACATCCACATGCTTATACATGTTGATAAAGTTTCTGAATGGACATCCCTGGACTTTACAGTGACTGTTGCTCAGGAGGAAGATAGCAGAGCTTGGGAGAGGGGTTGATTTTCAATTTTCATCATTTTAATTTGAGCATGAATTTGGTTCATAACTTTTTATACCGTAGTTAAAATGTAAACAGAACCAGAGGAGTGTGGGTCTCCTGAGGGCTGAGCCCACCCTTGACCTCCACATAGGATGGGGTGCTGGACCACATGCTCAGGTGGCTGCTGCCCCCCCCATGAGAGGTACAGAGAATGAGGGTCTACCCTAGCCATCGAACCCCAAGGGAAGCCAGGAGTCCTTGCCTTCTGAATCAGATTGCTATGGATTTGTCTTTTTTAAAGGACTTTCATGGGTGGGAGGATGTTTCCTATTGCAACTACATGGCTCAGTTGTCTAACAGTGAAAAGTTGGTTCTTTAAAATGGTCTGAGATATAGGATAATAAAGGGGGGGAAAAAACGGTTTCTCCTTTCCAAAGAAAAAGAATGCTATCTCCACATTTTTAAAAATAATCAAGATTTCCTGTGAAGCATCCCATCACACACACAAATTATTCTAATATTGGACATTTTTAAGAACATGGACATAAGGGTCTGAGCCCTGAGAAAGGCAGAGGGTAGTCTGGGCAGCATGGGTGCTCTTACCCAAGGGTGATGCCATGAATTCCATCCTGCCCCACAGACATGCACGCAGCATGGCCATGGTGCACTTGGACAGTCCACCGTAAAGCAAGCTGCAGAGACTAATGTCATCCCTCACTTCTCAGGCACCCACCAATAGCCAAGCACTGTGTCACCTGCAGGGTATTTAGTAGCTGTGAGAAATGGTCTGACAGTGCTGCATATTAATGGGGACACAAGTCAAGCAGACAGACAACTGCAATCCAGTGTGAACTGGCCTAAAACAGAGAGTAAAGGGGCTTTGGGGCTTATGAGAGGGATACCTGACCCAGTCCAGGGGATCAGGCAGCCTTCTTGGCCCAGATGAGGACTCTACCGAGACTTGCAGGATGAGGCATAACATAGGTGAAGAGAATGGGCTGAGGGAAGGAATGTTCCAGGCAGTACAGATGTGCAGGTCATACACTGCCCAAATGAACTCTGAGGTGAGGGCCTGCAATGCGACATCCACTGGGATAAGATGCTATTTTGCATTTATCTTTCAGGCTTATATGGACTATTAGTGGCCCAGGTCCCAGACAGAGGGAAAAGAGGCACAAAGGCTCAGAAATAAGAGAATACATAAGCTTCTGAAAACTCAAAGACATTTCTATTTGGAAAGAATGGAGGTGGCGAGGGCAGTGGAGGCAGCCAGGAGAGGCTGGTGCCAGGAGAGTCCATGGGGGTGCCTTCACATGGAAGTCAAGCCTGCTCCATCTTTAGCTAATTGGAAGGCATGGCGGTACCCAGGTGGGTAGGTGGAGAAGCTGCAGAGTTCAAATCCCAGCCCTGCCTCAGCTGAGCAAGCCCAGGTGGGCTTCTTGGCCTTGTGCCTCAATTTCCTCCTCTGTAAAATAGGATGTTGGGAGGATTAAGCAAGTGCCCAGGGAAGTACTGACAACCATAGTAAATGCTAAATAACCACAAGCTCTTAGCACGAGAGCATTCTGTACCGTGGATCAGACCTGAAGGGAGGATGTAAACACAGCCCCTGGAGAAGGTGAACAAAATGGTTCTGTGCTGAGAGTTCCCCAGATCACCACCCCCTGAAATGCTTCCAGAGGTGAGGGAGGGGGCCTCTCTGTGGCTGGGCATTCTTTTTCCAGGAGCGTTCTGGGCTCTGTGCTCAGCAGCTCTGTTTTGCTGCTTTTCTCTCCTCTCCTGTTTGGATGGGGGACCAGCTGCCAAGTGGTTTGTTCCTGAAGTTTACTTGTTCAGGATCCATCCCACCTTCTTCTCCCAGGGCCCCTGGTCCAGTGGGCTCTAACGAGAGGGCCGACACAGTGTCCCCTAGCCTGCAGGGCTCAGAGCCTGGAGTCCCACTCCGCATGGCATGACCCTGAGCCACACTTTCCTATCTGGAAAACACAGGTCCCGCCATCGATGTGGACAGGCAGTTTACCCAGCACCCGGGAGCCCCTCAGGAGCTCTGCTTAGTGGTATGAAAGAGAATACCTTTCCCCATGACGCGTGTGAACTGCCCAGGCAGGTCCCCCTCTGGCAGGGGGGCGACAGCCAGCTCCCCATCACAGCTGCTCAGCTGGTGTGGCTGCAGCCCGCCGCTGGCCCCAGCCGAGGCGCTGGCAGAGGCGCTGGTGGCCACTGTGTTGTCTTTGCAGTCAGGGCTCTGGCTCTCAGGGCCCATCAGGGAGGGCTGGTGTTGGGCTGGAGGCTCCCGGCGGCGCGCCTCCGGGGTGGCGCTCGGGGAGCTATAGGCCTTGATGGGAGTCAGGATCATCTGGTGCAGTTCCTGGAGGGGGATGCGCAGGCTGCCCCCCTCGATGATGTCCTGGACAGGCAGGGAGAAGACTTGTGTTAGATTCTGGGTGAGTGCCACCTGCATACCTCCCCGGCTCTGAGCTGTTTTCAGAACTCACAGCTGTTGACCTCTTCCTCAGTGTGAGCCTCAGACAAGTTTCTACTTTTATTTCATCATTCTTACATTAGCCCAGGTAGAAAATTTGGAAAATACAAATTTGTGTAGTGAGAAAAATATGTACCACCTGAAAATCCCACTGTCTACAAGTGACCACTGCTTCTCCTTGCCTTCGACACTTTTCTGCAAAATGGGTTTCTTATTTTACACTCATACCTTTTAGAATTTGTATCACAAAGTTGGGTCATAGTTGACTTTGTGTCCTGTATAAGCCTTATTCCAGATAAAGGACTCTGTTTCATGAACACCTTCACACAGCCTGTGACACTAGCAGCACAGAGCGGTGACTAAAAGCAGACTCTGGGGGCAGATGCCCAGGTTTGAATTTAGGCACTGCTGTGTGTCCTTGTGCAAATGAGTTCACCTCTCTGTCTCTCAGTTTCCCTGTGGACCAAATGAGGATAATAATCGTACCTCCTTCATTGGGTAATTGAATGATGTATTTTTATGGCTGCAGGTTATAACGCCTGCTTTGTGAATGATGTGTTGAGCGCTTCTACGCACCGAGCACCATGCCAGGCAGGGGCATGCCAGGCATGGGCATATGGTGGGAACAGCCTTTGGCATTCCCAAGGGAACTTTACATCCTATCATGAGATAGATCCATCATGCCAGGGTCTGGGGTGCAGGCCAGGGCTGACATGAGGGGAGTTCTCTGGAGGGGGTGACACTAGAAGATGTCCCCAGGAAGAAGCATCCCAGGGTACAGAGAGGACAAAGGCTCTGAGGTGGGCTTGTGCGAGGATCAGCAGGTGGTCTGCAGTGGAGGAGGGTGGCTGAGGGCAGAGGCATGGGAAATGAGGTCTCAGGGGCCCCCAGGGGTCATGAAGGCCTGAGGGCAGGGGCAGTGATGTCAGAAATTATTCTAAATGAGATGGAAAATCAGGGAAGGTTTTCCAGAAGGAGAGCAACAGTTTTAGAAGGTATGTATGTTTAAGGTATGTATGCTAAAATGTGTATAAGTCACATATTCATGTCTTTCTATGTTGTAAAATAAACTCGGACCATTCTGCACCTACTTGGATGTGCTGGTTGTTACTTATTAGAAAAAGGAACGTTGATTCTGGGACGAGTGACAGACAAACTCTGGACTGGCCCTGGTGGTGAGGAGTGTGGTTGGAGGCCTGGGCTGTTCCCTGGCAGGGTAGGTGGGCAGGACCCTCGGCCACAATGCTGCCTCCAGTGCTCATGCAGTCACAGCTCTCCCTGGGACCCAAGAAGGACTGCCAACCAGGGCCTGGATTACAAATGAAGTCCTTTATCTTCTGAGAGCCCAGAATAGCAAGGACATAATTTTAAAAGCTTGATGCCCTGAGTACCCAAACCGTCCCTGGGATCCTCTCTTACTGAGAAAAAAAAAAATCACTCGAAGATGTCATGGGATGCAAACATCTAGAACACAATCATGCCTGCATCCAAACCTTTCCAATCAGCTGAGCAGAGAAAGGAAGGCCAAGGGCGGCAGCCTTGGACTCATGTGCTTCAGTTCTGGGCAGCCACACCCTGTCGTCCGCAGTGGCCTGCTTTGTTGTTTGGAAGGACTGGGAGTGGAGTCTGAGTTGTGCCTTAGCCTCACTGGGATGAAGGTTTTATGAAGGAAGTAAATTTCTAATTAGTCACCAGAAGTGTCCCAAACCTGGCTGGAGCTATTGCCCAGTCTGTTAAAGAAGGTCTGCAGAGTCTACTGCCTTCCCTGGGCACACAGACTGGTGGGTGTGTGCTCATCATTCTAATTCTCAGCTGCCTCAGGACCAGCCCTTCCCAACATCTGGAAGCATCTGGATGCCAGGGTGTGCATGACTTCCTTGACTTTGGGCCTGGTGATCTGAGCAGGGCAGGGCACAGGAGGCAAGCCAGCTAACTCATGCTCAGGGAGTGCCTACTGCCCCTCTTGACCCAACTGTGTGCCGCCTGTGGGACTCTGGCCCTCCCTTGGGTTCCTGCACCTGTCCAACACTTGTGTTGTGAGGGTACCAAGCTCCTGCCCAGCCCGGTACTAAGCAGAAGAAAGAAAAGAGAGAAAGGGATGTGGCCCCACAAGGGGAGAATGGGTAAGCTGAGTGGGGAACATGCATTGCATGTGTCCCTGCTGTACCATCCCTGTGTCTGCCACTCAGGTGAGCACATGCAATGCTGGAGACACTGTTGACTGCCACCAGACCCTCACCTGCCCTTGTCACCTGGCAAAAAGGCTTGGTTGAGAGGAGAAAGGATTTGGGTGATGCTCAGAGCTGAACTTCAAACAGAAAACATCCATGCCCCAAGTCCAAATCTCATTTTTGTTTTCTACTGGGGCAACCGTGCCAAAAAATAAAATCACAAACATGATGAATAATGTCGGACACTCTGTAAAATATAACTTCCCAGGGATCATGTGGAGTTTTGTTTTGCCCCATGGACTTCAAACCACTATCTTAAAGATAACACTTAGCTAACAACCAGTTAGCCAAACCCCTGCTTATGTCAGCACCAGAGGGTGGGGGCATTGTGACCATCATGTTGCATTCCTACCTCTTTAGCATGAATCCCTGAACTCAGCCCCGAGTGCCCACGTTGAGAAGCAGGCAGAAAACAGCCTGAATGGGACCCAACCTAGCATGCTCGACTAGCTGTGGGAATTAATTTTCCATGTTGACAAGCCTCTCTCCATCCTTTATACCCAAAACATAATCCTAAATTAAAGAGAGGCAAATGAAGCTGTCCAATAACTAATATGCCCATTCAAAAGTGCCGAGCCGAGGAGCTCATTTGTAAGCAGATAATGGGGAATCTGGTCCATGGAGGCAGCAGCCCAGTGATTGCTCAGTGGATGAGTAGGAAGGAAATTCCTGTCCAACAAGCCCAGCTCTGGCCTGACTTTCCTAGGTCTTATAGAAAGGCTGGTTCAGTGCCTTTCCTGAGCATGTGACAATAACAAGGCACAAAACATCTGGAAAAGAGAGCTTTTGGCAGCCAAAGTGTCCCCAGCACTGATGTGATGTGTCCCTGGCCCCATCCTTCCTTTCATGTGAGAAGGATTTGGATTCTCATATAACAGATCTCCTGAGTCTACTTAGATCCATTCTCTCTCTTTTCCTTCATGAATCAGCTGCTGAGCCCTACATCAGCCAGGAGCTGTTCTGCATTGGAGATATATAAAAGCAAAGACGTCATCACCCTGAGATGCTGATGGTTCCTGGGACCCATAGAGTATGTTGGTGTCAGGGCAGGGAAGGAACTATGGGACAGAGAAGAGGGACCCCTGACTGCTACTGTGTGTCTCTCTGTGTGCGTTGGTGCTTCAAGAGAAAAAGAAGAGTGAAGAGCATGAGGGGACAGGAAGGACAGGTGAAAGGTGCCCAGTGATGAAGCTGGAGCGCTCTTCCAGGGTGCCTTGCTAAGAAGTTTGGACTCACCTGAGTTTCCTCCTCTTAAAACAAGCATCTATCTTGTTAGCTTAGGAGGTTTGCTGTCAGGGTCAGATGCACTGATATGTGTGGAACATTTTTTAAAGTTATCAAATGCACTGTACTATATAGAACATTATTATTCTGGAAATATCTATTACTTAATGCTATTAAATTTAACTGCTGTTTCTCTGCAGCAGTTGATGAGATCCAACCTCAAGAACAAGATCTGGAAGAGTCCAAAGAAAAGGTATAGACTTCCAGAGAAGCATCTTTCTCTCTCAAAGGGGAAACAAATGGAACTAGGTGAATGTGTGTGTGTGTGTGTGTATGTGTGTGTGTGTGTGTGTAAGAGAGAGAGAGACAGAGAGAACACACACAAATGTGGGATCCTTTCTCCACACCACAATTCCAGGTTCATAAATGGTTCCATTGCACAATCTGGAAGTCAATAGGAAAGAATAGATGATATCTCAAAGCATGTGGAGACCTTTTTTTCTTATTAAATGTTGAAAAAAATCAACGGTAACCACCATGATGTTGCTTGTTCCTTTTCTATCAAATAGTTTGAGAAGCCTATAGCTCCATACTTGGTGTCTTGCTACACATCTACAGTCCTGATTTGTGGGTTTCTGCTTCTGTCTGCCCCCCTTTCCTGCAACTTTTCTCAACATGGCTGTAGTGACCAGTTGATGGCCAGTTCCAGGGCACAATGTTTAGTCCTCACTGTGTCACATCTATGCCACCTGATGGAATTCCTGATTCCAACATTCTCCTGTCCCTGTGGGCATGGCTCAGGGCTCATCATTATCTATTATCACTGGGTCTTTTTTGTTTGGTATGATATACCTCAGGGCTCTTCTCACTTGACACACACATCTGGGGAGTGCCAACTACCAATTATGTACAGATGACCACAACTGGATCATTCAGATCTTGCTGTTTCCTGGACTCTAGACCTGTTCTTCTGGTCACCAGCCTGCCATCTCTGAGTGTCCCACAGGCATCTCAAGACTCAGCGCATTCAATTGAACTCCCTCTTCCCATTTTAGTTCAACTGAACACGCTCTTCCCATTCCTCCTATATTTCTGTCCCCAAATGCCACAACATCTAAGCCAAGACCTCCTGATGATCCCTGAATGCCCTCTAAAGGAGGCCTCCCATCCGTCTCCATCCTCACTGCCTCTGCTGTGGTTCAAGGTCCCATCAGGCCCCTGCCACAGTCTCCTCCTGAGTCTCCCAGCAGCATCGAGCTCCTGGAAAGGCTTCCCTCCAAACCTGTGCAGCGTGGCCTGCTTCTTTCCAGGAAGATTCCCCCTTCTGCCTGGGGGATGACGCTGATCACACTGTGCTGTGAGGTCATCCCAGTGCATACCCCAGAATACCCTCGAGCAGGAACCACATACCACTCACGGCCAGCCTCCAGTGGATGGGGCAAATCAAGTGCAAGTAGTTGCTTGATAAGTGTTCAGGAACTGAATGGAAGAGCTCTGGACACAGAGCCCATCTGTGGCAACTACTGATTATGAACTAGCTTCGGGCGGGGTCCCAGCCATCTCCTTAGAAATCTGGGTTCTATGTGAGGTAAGAATGCCGGAGGGGGCAAGGGCATGGTGACAACATTTCCAACAGCACAGTCAGCTGGAGGGGTGTCTGGGGATGCTTGATTTGAATGTCACTTGCCATCAGTGGTAACAGGTGATCAACAACCCCCATCCTCAAAGGGCAGAAGAAGCAGGAGAGGCAGCCCTCTCGGCCCCAGGGGCTCAGTCCTTTGCATATATTGAGAGGTTCCTCTCCACCTACAGGCCACCAGCTCCTGAAGGGACAGTATGCAGAGCATCTAAACATTCAGGCATTCGGAAAGTGAGCTCAACCTGGTCACTGAAGCTCGATTTCACCCTCTCGATGAAGTCAAACTCAGTATTGCTTTCCTCTTAGCCTTGAAAAGTCATTATACACGTGGCATCTTTTTAACATTCCCATGTCAGGGACCTGGCAGTCAGTAGCAGTCTAGTACTGACTAGAATGTGGAGTCAGCTCTATTCTAGGTGTGACTCTAGGACATAGTACATCACTGACTTATCAAAGCCTAGATGGATCAGGCCACCTGTGCTACCTGGCTGCCCTAGTGCTCTGATTTTGGCCCAAGACTGCAATAAAGCAATAGCAATTTAATCTCTCATCTCTGAAGTGGAAGGTACATTTCCTCAGCGATGGAGGTATGAATGAATTCCTGAAGGATGCTCCAGAAAGAAGAAAGGAAAAATCATGCTTCCATCCTCATGCTTAGCAATCTAACCTTTATGCAAAATAACTGCTGTACTTTTCTAACAGTAAATTGGCCTGTTGAATGTTCCCCCAAAGAGAACAATTTCTTAGATTAAAAATGGCAAAGATTAGTCAGACAAGCTTCTTGGCAAAGGAGTTTACGTAAAATACGAACAACAAAGCTTCAGGTTCACTTGGGGACCTCACTGTAATGCATTTTAAGAGCATATGTTTAATCATGGATGTGTGGATGTGCATCTGAATATGAATAGCTCCTACTTGTCTGTCCATCCAGAGGTTTGTTTTTTTTTTGCTTTTTCTTTAGTCAGGTTCTTTTTTTTTAAATTTTTTATTGTTGGTTGATCAAAACATTACATAGTTCTTGATATACATCCAGAGGTTTTAAAAGAAATTTTCCTTGTTATGCTTTGTATGCACATTCTTTTTTTAATTTTAATTTTTAATTTTTTGTGGTGCTGGGATTAACTCAGTGAGTGTGCTACCACTGAGATTTTTATTTTTTGAGACAGAATCTTACTAAATTACTGAGACTGGCCTTGAACTTGTGATCCTCCTTGCCTCAGCCTCCTGAGTAGCTGGGATTACAGGGATGTACCACTGTGCCCGTTAATATGCATATTCTCTAAATATATAACTTATGATGTGCCACTAAATGTAACTATTGTATATGTAAAATTCCACACATTCACATCTCTATGAATAAGTTTTTTAAATTTCCTACTCCATTAAAATGTTTGTGTTCATCAGACTTGCTTGAGACTGCCTAGCTCAATATTTTGTCCCCTCTCAAAGTCTCCATGGGATAACTGAGGTAAAGTTACCATACACACACTATAACTTTCAAATACCTACAGAACTTTCCACCCACCACTCCCAACACCAGTGCACAAGAACCGCAGCTCCAGGGACAGAAGCAACACTGGTTTGCTTGTGTTCAGAACAATGTCTGGCTCTTCATTAGATAAAATTACAGATACCTCGTCCTAAAAAATGACAATTTTACCAGGATGACCTCCAGATACAAGATTAAGAAATGAACCTGTGTGAGTAGCAAACAAAAAGATAGTGGGCACCTGAGAACTGCTTTTAATGTCAGAATAACTTTTTCCAGCATTCTACATTTTTAGTATGGTTCTTATCAGAGTCGGGGGGACTCCTTTTCTTGTTAAATTAAAATCTGAAACCATTCTCTCGAGAGCCAACTGTGTCTGCCTGCCCAATGCATTGGATCCTCTCGGTGGAACCTGGAGTACACCTTGGTGTGCAGATCTCTACAAGGGCTTACAAAGCAAAGGCAGATGCACACGCAATTTGACAGCATCTCACCAGAGGCCTGGGATGGCCAGTCACGGGCAGCTTGGACCCAGGATACAAGGAAGCATGTGTAACCAGGAAACCTCACGTCAAAGTCATTTCACTTTTTCTGACTTCGCTAAGGAGACTGCATGATATTTTCTCTAACCTCTGCTAATAACCTTCTCAACTGAGAATTTTCCTTGATCCATTTTCCCATGATGAAAGTAGAAAGGTTCCCTCACTCCCTGAACACTTACCCTTTCCAAAGACTTCAGGAGGTTTTGTCTTTCTTTGAGCTTCTGAATACTGATGACAATTTTGTGTCTTGCACCTTTGGTAACATTCTGGAATTAAATATAATCAATATTTAATTAAAACATATTTTAAAGAATTGACTTAGAGACCCTCAGAAGCTACTTAGTCATCTGCTGTCTTCTTGGTTCCTACGGGTTCACATGTAGTTGATATGTATGTCTCTCTCATTGGCACCTCTGTCAGAAACATCTTCTTACTAAATATTCTAACTCCACCTGTCTACACATTTGCCTGTGTCTTTTGCATGTGACCTTTAGGACAGAGAGATACAGAATAGCCAATTATTCCACCCAGCAGGACATTTCTTCAATAGTCTTAGAAGATAATTTTAGGTCAAACACCCTCTTCTACAGTCCCTCTTGTTTTCCCTGGGGTCCCAACCTCATTAACTATTCATTGTTTTCTCAAACCTTTCCTGCGTTTATAGGAAAGCCCCATACAGTCCACGTGGAGTATTAAAAAACAGGGACTTTTTAAAACATTAGTTTGCAGGCCTTCTTTTGTTTCCATAAAGAAAATAAGAATAGAAAATTAACCTAAATCCATAATTCACTCATAATTTCAGGCAAATGTTAGGATTCCCAGAATTGTAGATTTTATCTTCTTAAATCTATAGCAATGTAGAACCTAAGGATTCTGTCAGACACTTGTTAATTATAGACCCTGCAAATTCCCCAGTTGAAGGTCCCTTTTCCATTGGCTTGCAGATTCAGGACCTCTACCCTGGTACAACTCTTCCGTTGAATTTCTTTTAATAAAGGAAAAGATGGGAACCCTAGTAACACCTACTTTACTTAGAAATATTAAGACTTAAGTGACACATGAACCCACTTTCTAAGATGTCTAAGATGAGACATGGGGAGAGTATATTTCTGTTAAGCCTTAACTTTAGGTCAAAGTGAATTAAGTTCCCCTGAAAAGTTTGTGTCAGGCTTTGCTTTTGCCTTCTGTGTTAATTATTTTTTGTTTTTTTCTCAAGTTGAACAACTGATGACTTTGATTATTTTCTCAACTCTGACCCAAACACAAAAATGCTCTTTGAAAGGGTTCTCATCAATTCCTGGGATCTCAAGGAGTGAACGAGATCCAAAAAGCAGTAGGAGAAATGTTAGGAAGTCGAAATTAGTGCCTTTCATTCTGGGAGAATGTGCAGTGACTCTGGGCTTTGTCTTGCTCTCAATACTGGTATTCAGCCAGGCCTGCAGAGGTTAACTGAGGGGACAGAATAAGCAATGGGAAACCAGAGATCTGCCAGGAGGTATGATCCAGACCAGCCATTCTCCTCTTCCTGCAGGGGAAATCAGTTCTTTAAAATCTTTGCTCAAAGAAAACTGAGGTCAATTTGAAACATGCAAATAGCATCTTAAACAAGGCAAACAAAGACATCGGTCAGATCTATTGACCAGAACACAGCATGGTGGGAGACATGCTTAGTTTCAGGGGTTCTGTTGACTGGCCTTTGGCATCCTGTACGTGGGGAAGGATGCTTTAGAAGGAAGGAGGAACTTTGTCCTTTTATGGCATTCACAAGGAAAGTGAAATCTGAAACCTGGGGAAATCTAATTCTAAATCATTTTCCCATGCTATTCAAGGCAGTTTAGAAGAAAAAAAAATTATTTTGAACAATTTACTCCAATCTCAACGAAAACTAGCTTAAATGTGATTCTGCAAAAGTATTGGGGCAGGTCTGAAGCATGACCTGGTGCCTTTCTTCACTGGTCCCGTCAGTAGTTAATGGATATGTGACTGGACTGGACAGCAGACAGTGGACCTGTTCCTATTCAAACAAGCCCTGGGTGGGCAGAGAGAGAGAGAGGGCCAGGAAAGCCAAAGCAGAGATGACTCCTTGGGCCCCTCACCCAGTGTCACTTTTCAGAGGCTCCATTGATTCCTCCCTCGCACTTTGAACTTCCAGTGTGTACTTAGATTCTATCTTTTCCTAACTCTCTCTGGCCCTCACACCCTCAGGACTCCTTGGTTGTAGGCTTGTCTTCTGCCTCCTATTGGACTCTGAGGCAAGAGCTCAGCCTTACTCACCAGGGGATGCAGCCGGCCCCCTGCATCCCGAGAACAAGGCAAGCTACTGGGTGGATATAGGCCTGGGCCTGTCTGGGGCTTGAGCTTCACCCTCGCAGGGGGGTGATCCTTCTAGCACATACCTGAGCCTCCAGCTGGCACTCGGTGAGGGCCATCATTTCCTCATAGGTCATCTGGGAGAAAAGCGCGGCGTACTTGTGCAGGCGGAGGCTTTTTAACCAGGCTGGAACATCTGTGGTGCAAGATGTGCAAGAGATGGGGAAAGAAATGAGAGGGGACATGAGGAGGGGGCAAAAGATGTGGGAACAGAGAGAGGAAGAGGGTGATGGTCAGAAGAACAAAAGAAAAAATAAATCTTGATGTTACTACTTAATTTTGGCAGCAAATTAATGGACTCAGAAATCTTGAGCTAGCGATGACATTCCTGCCGGTGGGTTCCTTGGTTCTACTTCAGACAAGGGATTGTTAACTTGGGGTCCTTGGGCTTCAAGGCATACAGGAATTCCCTGAAATTATACCCCAATTTGCGACTGTGTGGGTAGTTTGCTGGGCAGAGGGTCATCCATAGCTTCCATAAGGGGTTCTTGAAAAAAAATAAAGATAAGAAACCATGGCTTGAGCATGACCAGTTCACTGTTGATTTGGAAAGAACCAATTTAAAATGTTAAAACAAGATACAGTGAGTCTACATCCTTAAGATAATTTCTTTGTAGGTTTAATGCAGATTGCCGTATGTTGTTTCAGCCCCTTCTGCAGAGACAGGAAAACCAGGTAACAATGGTCCCCCCTACAAGGGAAGTCAATGGAGTACCTAGCCTGATCTTTCTTTCTCCTCCCTAGGCCTCAGTGGGATAAAGGGCATCCTGGACCTGGCATTATCTCTTTGGTGGGGGTGTGTCTGCTGATCATTCCTCTAAGCTATGGAACATAGCTGGATATATCTTCAACTTCTTCCTTGTATGTCAACCAAAAATATCACCACTCAAAAGGTCCAAAGATTGGCTAGATAATAGAAATAGAATAATAGAAATTCCCCCAACACACCTGAAATAAGCCCCAAGTTTGGGATTCTAGAATTAAAATTAAATAGCAGTTATTACTGGAAATCCTCAGAATTATGACCTTGCTAAGTACAACCAAAACAAAGCATTTGCCCATTGTCTTTTAAGTCAGAGTTTTTGAGTGGATAGGATCTTTGAAAAATTTCCAGAATCATCTTCCTTTCCACCACACCTCATTTTGCAGATTGACAACATTAAGTCAGGAGGCCTAGATCACAGAACAAGTATGTGGTGAAATGGGGACTAGAACTTAGGTCTCCCAAGTCTCAGCTCTTCCCTACTTTGTATCTTCTCCTAAAACAAAGAAAAAATAGCCCATCAGTGGTAGAACTGAATAATCACAAACTGCAAGGTACTTTGAAGTGCTGGGTTATTGGGTGTTATTCATGTTTCCCATGAAGTACTACCAATAATTAACCATGTTCATCACAAGATTCTGTACCGTTGATTACTAAGTGCCTTATTCTGAAGCACTGACCAACCACACACATTTCAAAACAAGTGGCAACCTTCCAATTTTTCAATGTTTTGAGTCAATATCCAGGTTGATGAAAGATGCCTTGCCAACTCTGAAATCAGGCTCTGCCTCTTAGGCAGACGAAACCAAGTTAGGGACTGTGAATGGGGGATGATCTCCTGACACTCAAAGACATAGAAGATTGGGATGACTCCTGAGGCTGAGTCTTGACTTGCTGTCATGCAAATGCCTATGAAAGGGAATTTCTGAATAATTAGAATGGAGCATTCGATGGCTTTTTAGGAACAGACTCAGTTATCACAGGCTAGAAATCGCTTCATTCTATGCTTGGAAGCCCTTCGAACTACTGTGACAAAAGAGTGTCTCTAGGAACATCATAAACCATAAACAGACAAGGCTTCCCAGGCACATCCGACTAACCCTTTACATCCTCCTCCACTCAAACTACCATATTGGGTCAAGAGTCCAGGACATACCATCTCAGGAGTCTGGTACATTCCCTTGTGTGATACCCCAGAGATATTATAACAGACTTTCTTCTCCAACGTACTTTTGTTTCTGTTGAAATGAGCTAATGCTTCTGCGAGTGAGCAGCCATAATCATAGCTACAGTGCCAGCTTTCAAGCCACCTACATTTTACCGCTTTGTCATCAGGTTTCATGATAGCTACTCACATCTTTGAGAAGTCTTAAGTCACTGCTCAGAAAATGTAATGACCATTATTCAGAGAAGTATGGTTAACCCAGTGCCACAACTGGGCCCAATTCATTGCAAAGGAGTATGAAGCAATCTCCTGGACCAAATTTCACCAAGGGTCCTTATAGCTGAGTCAGGCCAAATCTACTGATAAGTCAAACAGAATCCTCAGTCACTGAATCCTGTTGCAGACTGGGTGCTTTATAAGCCAAGTTGACAACAGCGTGTCTAAGAGTCAGGAAGCACAAGGGACAAGTCTCAGGTTGGAAAGTTTCAGTTCAATCAGTGCTAGTTTGTTTAATATAAAACTCTTTTGACAACTAGAGTTTCTCTCTTAGAGGCATGGAAGGGTCTACCTTACTCATTTAATCAAAATGGAGGTCACTGGGAGTAGTTTTCCTGGAAAAGACTTCATACAATTTCACAACAGGCTGAGTTAGGCCTTCCTGAAGAGCTATTCTGGATGCATTCCTAGGAAATGTAAGCTCCTCTGGCTTTCTGTTCTTTGAGGCAGGCACACACTGCTGCTGTTTGTAGAGCATCTTAGAGCCTAGCCCAGGAGAGCTCTAAAGAGTTCTCCTTCCTGCAGCTTGAACTAAGGAACAAAGAGGAGATCCCAATTCTTAAGAATATAGCCTACCAACCCTTCTCCCCTGGGTTGGTGGTGTTCACCTTCCCTTGTCAGTAATTAAAACAAAATTACATAAAGAAGGAAACAAACCAGAGAACTGAGAGCCTTGACCATTTCATTTACCCAAGTCAGGAATTCCAATGATTGGGATGCTAGATTCTGTAAGGTGTTAGCCAGGGATGAACTCTAACTAAAAGCATAGGTCTTTTTCCAGGATCCAGATGCCACCCTGTTGGATGCAATCTAAGAACCACCTGATATAAGCTTAAATTTTCCTTTTTCAATCTGTGAAACTGTGGCTATGGTTGGAAGACAAAGGCAAAAAGGGGAGATTCAGAACTGTTTCCTAGAGAAGCTGATACATAAATGAAGGTACACATACAAATACCTTCAGGGCTCCCACCTGTGGCTGATGCCCAGATGTTGAACTTGATATGGACTGCTCCTGCTGGACATACCAATGGAAGTCCCAAACTAGAAAGTCACTCTCTCATACAATATGAGAAAGAAAAAAAGAAAAAAAAAAGCCTTGACTATATGCTAAATTGAATTCCTTGCCAAGTGTGGGAATCCTGATATTTGCTCCTTCAACATTTACCAAATCCCTCTGATGGGAGGCAGGCTCTGTGAGGACCTGTCCTTGTGATCAAGGGACATTATTTAATCCAGAAAGCATGGCTGACTCACATACAAAAGATTATAATAGCTGCAGTTGTGCTGAGTATACTCAAAGTTCTAGAGAAGTACAGAATAATGAGCATTTGAGTTTGCCTGAGGGACTGAGGAACAACATCTTGCAATTTGCTGCTTGGAGTAGCCCAACTTGGAGTCCACTGGGCAGACCATATTGAGGAAGGCATCTCAAAAAAGCAGGAACAGTAGAAAACAAAGCATAGAGCCAAGAGAGCATTCAGAGTAGAGCAAATGGTGGTGAATGGAGGAGAATGGCCGGAGACAGGTGGAGCACATAGGCAGAGGTGTCAGATGACTGAGATATGAAATGCTGAAACAAGGAGAGTAGAGTAGACTTTGTCATGTGGGTGATGAAAGTCTGCTGAGATCTGAGCAGTGGAAGCACAATCAGATGAATGTGCTGGAAAGATGGTGGCTGTCAATTTGGTAAGAGAAAACACAGGATCAGCAGATTTGGGGAGAAATGGTGAACTCCATTTTGATCACATGACATGAGTGTCGATGCTTAGGTCATCCAAGGAGAGAATTCAACTGGCCAAAATTTTAAAAGAGAGATGTGAGCTTGGAGAACAACTTGCCTTGCCACCTTGTTCATGGTGGCTGTCACAGAAGTAGGTGATATTACTCAGATAAGGATCAGTGAGTGAGACTAGGAGAGAGCCATGGGGGAGCCTTAAAATGTCAGGCTTTGTGGGGAAGGTATAGGAAGACAAGGCAGCAGGTAAGGGGTTTCTAGGAGAAAGCACCACCATCCATGTACTGATGGTGGTCTCCCATGCCATAGTCTCCATCCTTCATGAAGCTCCTTCTAGATGTGGTGGCAGCCAATACTGGTGTATTTTCTGATGGCCATTCTTGATAACTGTGCTATACCCATCTTGGAATAAGTTCTGTATTTATCTATTGATCTTTACTAATGGGATCAAATTTTAAATCATGCTGATTTCTAATTTTTTTTTTTTAGAGTTTGAGTAAATCAGCTAGAGAGATATTGTGGCCTGCACAACAGCTCACGCAGAAGCTAGCTCCAATGAGAACGTGGGTTGCTTTTCTCCAGTGAAAGCCACAGCAGTTATAGCTGAATATAACAGCCAGGTCAACAAGCTGTGCAACACCCAGCCACAAACAAGGACACCTCAGGAGAGAGAAAGATAGGATGAACTTGGGAAGTAACATGAGGAGCAGAAAATAAAGAATCCCTGGAAGACATAAACACAGTTTTCCATAAGAGGGCTCATGCATGGTGCTCCTGGTGGAATGGGAGATAGAATCCCATTCACCTCAGAGAGCCACTCTGTCTCCAAGATGTGACTGCATTCTTGGTCTCTGAGGGAGGGAAGAGGGAAAGCCAACCAAAGGGCAAGAGGGAAAGCCACTCTTCATCCTTGAAGTAAAGGGCAAAGTATTTCTTTCAAGAACAAAGCACAGAAGTTTAGTGACACCATCAAGATTACCAGAGCCTATCTTTGCTTCTGGCCATAGCACAACGAACAACCCAACGCTATTCCAGCCTCTGAGCAAAAGAACAAAGGAGCTTTGGTCTCTGGTTCCTTCGGAGCTGGATCCTCTTGAGCATGCTCCTTGATGCTAAGAAGTGTGCATAGCGGGCTCCAGGAGGACCTCCCTGCTTGTGGGGACAAATATGAGTCTTAGAAGGCACGGAGATAGCCTA